AGAATGGCTTCAGGAAAATGACAAGGTGAAAGCTAAATTGCAGTGGAACAAGGAGTAATTGTGGAAAGAGCAAGTATAATGTTTAGCAGTAAAAAGAAACGACAGCAGTTGAAGGGAAAAGAAAGTAGAGGGAAGATTTTAGTCTTAAAGAAATATCCATGGTTAAGAGGCTAAGTACCATGGGCACCATGTTTGGCCTCTACGTCCGTGAAGGTGGTATATGGTCTAGCTCTTTAAATTTGATATCAATTTTTTAGTTAAGCAGGGAACATGCACAGTTTCTGATAAATGAACTTCTACTAATTTTTTTTTAAAGATTTTATTTATTTATTTGAGAGAGAGAGAGCACAAGCAGAGGGAGAGGAAGAGGGAGAGGGAAAGGGAGAAGCAGACTCCTCGCTGAGCAGGGAGCCTGACATGGGACTTGATCCTAGGACCCTGGGATCATGACCTGAGCCAAAGGCAGATGCTTAACCAACTAAGCCACCCAGGCGCCCCTTCTACTAATTCTTTTTTTTTTTTTTTTTTAAGATTTTATTTATTTGACAGAGAGCACAAGCAGAGGGAGAGAGAGGGAGAAGCAGGCTCCCTGCTGAGCAAGGAGCCTGATGTGGAACTCGATCCCAGGACCCTGGGATCATGACCTGAGCAGAAGGCAGACACTTAACCCACTGAGCCACCCAGGCATCCCCTACTAATTCTTTATACTTTTATTTTCTTAGATACTTTTTAACCCAACACATATTCTCCAAGTCAGGATACAATGATACATTTTGTCCCATTAAATGCTTCACTATGTAAAGATGAAACATAGGAGAGTTTTTTCCCCAAGTGTTTCTTTTTTTTTAAGATTTTATTTATTCATTTAAGAGAGAGAAAGAGACAGAGAGAGAGCACAAGCAGGGGGGAGAGGCAGAGGGAGAAGAAGACTCCCTGCTGAGCAGGGAGCCCAACGTGGGGCTCAACCTGAGCCTCAATCCCAGGACCTGGAGATCACGACCTGAGCCGAAGGCAGACACTTAACCATCTGAGCCATCCAGGCGTCCCAGAAACAGGAGAATTTTTTAAAGTTACAAAGCAGAAGGCAAAGTTGTATTTCAGTTAACTGGATTTTAGTAACTGATTACATCCTAGAATATTTTGGAATGTGATTGAGTAAAAGTAAACCTCTCTGTTGGTTATTTAGGTCCTCCTGTATTATAAAAATCAGCACTCCCTCATCAGAAACTTCTTGCCTAAGCTCCTTATCTATCCCCACCCTCCCCCTAATCTTTGTTCATTTATTCGTTTTCCCCTAGACACTTATTTTAGGAAGGGGCCTATGTTGTTTGTATCTTCAATCATTTTCTCTAGTTATAAAATGAGCATAACTAAAATTTACCAAGTGCTTAGTAAGTGCCAGGGACTATTCTCAGTGCTCTCCACGGGCTGTGTCCAGTCATCCTCCGGATGCATTTTACGGAGAAGGAAACTGAAGCAGGGAGGGGGTAAGTGACTTACCTGAGAGCACACAGTTCTTAAATAATGGAGCAATGTTAGAACCAAGGAAGTCTTGTCCAAAGTCCACAGCCATAACCAGTCACAGCACTGCCTCTCACCAGATGCTCTAAATCTCCTGAAATCTGCATTCCTTCTATTCACAAACGTCCTGAGATTACTGACTTCATTCAGTAACATGTACTATGAGATTGGTGCTGGCGTTTCAAGAGCTAACAAGGTAGACACTGGAGCATACTGTCTGGACGGGGAGGCAAACGAGAAGTCAACGGTTCAAATGGAGTGTGGGGGTCAGTGCACACCCGCAGGCTGGGATCGGGGGGTGGGGCTGATGTTCCTCAATACCATGGCTCCCAGGGGAATGGGAAGGAGGCGAGTCAGCCAGCTAGCCTGTGAATACCAGCTCCATGTTCCCTGGGTGGGAAACTCTAGGGAAAGTGTTTGAGCTCTTTCTGGGCCGTAAATAAAATGCAGTAATAGATGGCATAGAGCTGCTCTCCAAAACCTGTCCTTCACTTTCTTCCTTGATCATTTACATCTCGCTTCCACAAGGAACTCTATGCCCATAGCAGAATCTCTATCTCCAGCTTGAGCCTCTCTTCTGAGCCCTAACTGCACTGCTGGTTGCCCATGCCCACTGGGTGCCCCTGCTTCCAACTCTGACCTCATAAATCTAAAACTCACTGGCTCAGGGCGCCTGAGGGGCTCAGTCGGTCGAGGGTCCAACTCTTGACTTCGGCGCAGGTCGTGATCTCAGGGCTGTGAGGTTGGGCTCCACGCTGGGCGCGAGGCCTGCTTGAGCTTCTCTTGCCCTCCCCACTCTCTCTCCCTAAAAAAAAAAAAAAAAAAAAAAAAATATATATATATATATATATATATATATATATATATGTATGTATAAACTCATTGGCTCTCTCAAAACCCTTGGTCTTGAGCAGTGCCGCCCACTTCTGCCACTGCCAGCAGCGCTCTTCCAGAAGCCTGGGTGAAGCCTCTTTCGATCGTCCCTGCTCCATTGCCCCAGCTCCATTGCCCCACCATCTCATCAGTCTGTTTCCGAGTCTTCGAATTCCTCCCTCCTTTATATTTTTACTGCCACGACTAGCTTCTGCTTCATCAAGTAGCCTAACCATTCCTCACCTCTCCGCCACGAGTCTTCCCGAATCACAGCTGGCCACCCGTCTTGTGCCCCTGCCTGTTCTGCCTTCCGTGCTCCCTAGGCAATAGCCATTGGCTTCTCCCCTCCATTCCTTACCACTCTCCTTCATGCATTTCACACCTGTCAAGTTCAGCTGCAACCTGCTCTCCCACAAACCGCTTACACTGCTCCTCCATCTGGAACACTCTCCATTTCTCAATGTCCCAACATTGCCTGTCCTTGAATGTGCACAGGCACCATGCTCTACACATTTTTCTCTCCTTTGGTTGGAAATCATCTCTTTCTGACATGAACTTACAAAGCATTTTATCACTCTTCCAAGCACTTGGCAATTTCTACCTTGTTTGTATAATGACGCATCTTCTCTCTTCCACTACATGGCAAAGCCTTCGGGTGTAGAATCCAGGTGTGATTCATTTTCAGGTGTCCCACTGTCTCTAACACCAAGTGCTCAAAAATATATAAATAAGTGAATATGAAAACGAACGGAAGACCTGAAAGAAGATTGGCAAGATCCTAGAACAGAAACAGCGCTCACACGCTACCATGGGCTTGACTGAAAGTGGAGCGCTAAGCAGTAGACATCTCTCCATCACAGAGATTTCAAGGAGGAAAAATAACTGACTACAGTCACAACATGTCAGTTAAAGAATTTTCCAGGAAGCCAGTTAAGGGAAAGGAACAAAATATACCACCTTAACATTCAGATAGATCCACACATTGCGGAAAGGTACAAATTAATGCAGGTAAGCAGATTTTTAAAGATTTATTTATTTATTTGAGAGAGAGAGAATGAGAGACAGAGAGCATGAGAGGGAGGAGGGTCAGAGGGAGAAGCAGACTCCCTGCCGAGCAGGGAGCCCGATGCGGGACTCGATCCAGGGACTCCAGGATCATGACCTGAGCCGAAGGCAGTCGCTTAACCAGCTGAGCCACCCAGGCGCCCAAGCAGATTTTTAAATAATATAAGCTCCCCCCCCGCCCAAGAATTATTGTTGATGGGGCGCCGGCTGACTCAGTCAGTAAAGCATGCAACTCTTGATCATGAGTTCAATTCCTATGTTGGGCATGGAGCTTACTTAAAAAAAATTATATATATATATAATGAAACAGAGGAAAGAACAAGGAGGTGAAGACATACCAACAACGAGTAAAGAAAATAGATTCTCTTCTAAACTCTATTTTTTGCTTTCACTTGGTGACCACAGGCTCTCAACATCAAGCTCTTAAAGATGTGGCCTCAACCCAAACGTTGTACCCATAAGCTAGTCTCTTTAATCAATCAAGTGGGGTGCCTGGGCGGGGGGCTCAGTTGGTTAAGCGCCTGACTCTTGATTTCAGCTCAGGTTATGATCTCAGGGTGGGGAGATGGAGCCCCACATGGGGCTCCATGCTGGGGGTGGAGCCTCCTTCAGATTCTCTCTTGCTCCCCACCTCCACCCCTCCAAAAAAATCGGGAACTGGGCCAGCACAATCTCAAAAGTTTGTGATTTGTGCAGATATTTAGAAAAGGAGCATCCTTAATAAACATGAACAAGAGTTTAAATCAACTATATTCTTCATACATTGTTGATTTCAGAAGCTGAGCCGGGGGATGGAGGCAGTTGTCACCACAGGCCGTTTTACTAGGACTGTGAGTGGGCATCTGCTTCTAGTCTCAAAATGTTAACTTCTTTTCGAGAGGCAAAACCAGTCTAAATGCTCCACAAAAAATGAATAGTAAATCTCTAACAAAAGGAATGTGTGATTAGATTACTAACTCTTCTTTATGAATTTTATCCTAGCCTCCATGCATACTACAAAATCCTTTGGCAACAAGACAGCACAGGAAATGAAAACTTCCAATCTGCATATTAAAAAATACAGTAACAATTCAATTCCAAGGAGATACAAGGAAGACACTTGGCAATGCTTTAAAGGAAAAGAACGTTTCTTTGAGGTGTTTTTTTTTTTCTTTTTTTAAACTTTCGGTTATACAGCATGAAGTTCTTCTTATACTTGTGAAGCTATGAAAATGAAAAGAGAAGCAGCTTCTGATTAAATCAAATAGAAAATGGCTTGTAAGACCTCCATTATGACATCTAACAATTTCAAATGCAAATTCTGGTTGGATTTCAAGGTTCTAGATACCACATTAAGCTCACCTAGCATTTAATCGATCCATAGCTACTACAAATATTGTTGTTGGTCTCACCATAAAGAACCATGAATATATCTCCCTAGAGTTCTTAATAAAATGTAAGATCTATTTTTTTAAATTACTCTATTTAAGTGACAAAAGGGGGAAATGGATTTGCAACTTTGATCTATATCCAGGCAGAGGAAATTATCCCCAAAACAAGACTACTTCACAGCAAGATTTATTAATACATCCAAAAGAAAGAAAGAAAAATCATTTTGTCACACTATATACAGATAATACATACAGTGTTTTATACACATATTACATCAGTTTTTACACAAGAAAAATATACATAAAAATGTAAACTTTTGTATACAAAAACCCTTAAACAAATTAAACAAGGACCAGATAACAAAAGGAGACCAATCCATTATTATTTCATCAAATTTTTAAAACAGTAATACAGTACATTCATTGAGATATATATGGAAAATGTGAGCCATCTCTTCATGTTTAAAGGGAAATTACAAACCAACAGCCCATCGCCTCCCAAAATGTGGTCCCCCCCCCAAGCAACACCACACTCGATGCCACAGACACGCCTTTCCGTCACAACTGGGGGGCTCTTAACCAAACCTGCCAACCTCCTCATCTTGCTGCTATAGTCTGTGCAGAAACGGGTGGCCCCTTAGCTTTTGTGCATACAACTAAGCTTCTAGCCACTATTCATGTAAAAACAGACAAGATTCTCGGTTTGTAAGTTCCCTTTAAGCAGGTTTTTTTTTTTTTGTAAATATTTTTAATGTATGGCCTGTTAAACATACTTGTGTGCCAAGGTGAATGAGAACACTGAAAAAGAAGGGCTTTGAGAACTGCTAGTCCTTGCTACCGTGCAGTTACTTTGTAAGAAGAGATTTTAAAACTGTGCAATGCGTCTGTCCCTTACTGGATCCAAAGAAGCTACCACCTCACCTTGATTTCCCACTGCAACTTGGTTTCAATTTACACCTCAGTACTCCAGTTAGTACCATACAACTGCCAAGAGGCTTTGTTAAAGGCTGCTCCTGATATCAAGTTCCAGCTAAACTACTCTGTGAAATCACTCAGACCCCAACCTCTCCATTCTGGTCTTCAGGGGGGGTACTCTTCCTTCACTGTTTTTTTTGGTAACATCTTAAAATTTAGGATTGTCCATCTATGTTCCTTTCTCTGTAAGGTCTTGAAATGTAATCTGCTGCCAACTCATCACAAAATAAAATCTCATTTTTTTTCTTCATAGTCTTTCAGTGTGTCAAATTGATGCACTAATGAAAACACCTGAAGCTGTGGGGACTAGGAATTAAATCTATGGCAAGTGCATGCAGACTTCGAGTTCTTTTAAAAAGAAAACAAAAAACAACAAAAAAAAGACGTCTGGGAAGACCTTTCACTAAATAAATGCAAAACATGCTTAAGACAGCTTCATGAGAGCTGCCTTCTCTCAAAGTTGAATTTTGAACAAGGCAGAATAACAATTAGGTGATATATTTCCCTGCAGCTAGAGAGTAGTTAACTTCCCCCAGGCAAAATGATCTCAATGATCATTATTTATTAATGAAAGGAAGAGGCAGATTGGTGAATTAAGTTGATCTAGTAAGATGGTGGTTGACATACACTAATGGACATGTTAGGATTGCTTTATAACTGAAATAAACCGGCTGGTTTGTGGTACATCTCCATTTTGGAGGGAGGAAAAATGCACAGGGTTCCTCAAGTGAATCCCCAGCTCTCTCTCTTTCTCCCATGGGACAGATGGCATTTTTAAAAAATGACAGTCTCCCTTTCAGTTAGAACAAAATGTAACAATAAAAAGGAAAAGGAAGATAAATAAATAATGTGTGGATGTCTTTAGATGAGACTTTTAAATGTTCTTTAAATAATCTTCGATAATGTATTTTTAAATCATTACATACAACGGCCATGGCAGTGGACCACATTCCAGTAGGGGCAGCATTTTGCTCAATGTAGAAGATTGCCATTTAAAACTCACACATATACATGTGTATATACAGTATATCAACACGATTTATATACATATATATCTAGGAAGCAACATTCCATTGCCTTTGAGTATCTATATATTCACTCCCACAATATATACGAGACATACTGTGTGAGTATATACGAAAGTATATGTACACATGCTCTGACATGTATATATACACTTTGTGTGTGCATAAGAGCTTTAAAGGCACAATATATAGGGGATGCCAGTTTATGCGAGAGAGCTGCAGCAAAGGTAAAACACAATGTCACAAGCGTGAAAAGTCAAAAGGAACTACAGCAAAAGTCATCACGTAAGGATTCGTTGAAGCAGTGTCATCATGAGTAAAATGAGTTAGTTCTAGAATTCAAGAGGCTTATGTGTGACTTAGTATGCTTTCCGTTAAAATGAAAATGGTAAATTTATGATGAAGACAGAAAGTAAACCACATTTTTAAATGACAAATTGATGACAATAAATGAGAAAATAAACCTCACACTGTTATCAATACTAAAATCATAATTACGTTCTTTTCCAATGTGAGTAAAATGTCCCCAGATTATCTAGGTAAACCTTTAAAATTAGTCTTGTTTGAATGTTGGTTTCTATTTGTTTTTGAGACAAAGGTGAATGCCCAATCCTCAAAATTACTATACAAAATATTACCCAAACTGACATCTTCTGGAAAATTTCAGAGAGAAAGATCTTTAAAAGAAACGACTGAGAAGTTACTGAACTATGCTTAAGCCAAATGCTTCTGGCTAGAGAGGACATCATAAAGGGGAAAAAATACAATGAAGTGTGATGAGAGATTGAGAAGGCAGTGAAAAGAATCGTGGAACTGGCAAGTAAGAATAGTTCTAGCAGGAATTCACTTATAATAATAACCATAAACAAGACTATAATCCAAAGGACTTCCATCTTGGTATGCACTGATAATGGACTCCAGACTGTCACCTCCTCTTGCTTACAGAATAATTGAGTTTTCCATAGACGTATAATCTTGCTTAACAAAGGCTGTTTATCTATTACACACACACATTTTTTTAGGGAAATATATGTATATAGCTTTATCTATACACACACATATACATACGTGTATATATAGATTTATACAAATGTATAAATAAACATAATACTTTTCAATCTTTCAATTGACAAGGCAAGTTCACATTCAGCAAAGTGCCACCACATCCCATATACACATCTCTGTACAGATATACACAAAAGGGTCTATTTTCACCCTTCGATCAGGGGGAATTTATTCTAGCAAATCCCATTAACCAGTAACTGAAGGGAGAAATGGCACCAATACAAACTCCCTTCTTTCATTTGCATGCATATGTACAAGAAATATGCAGATTTTTAAAAAATCCATAAAGCAAGAGTGAATGAAACTGGGAGATGCAGAAATACAGCTATAAAAGGAACGATGTGGAGCTTTCCTAGGTCTTGGCCATACCTAAGATGAATGAGGCTTCAAAGAGAACTACAAATTCTGGTGTATTCTCAGAAGTTGTTTTGACATATATCAAAGTACATGACCTTTTGATACTAAAAATAAATGTGATCGGAGCATTTAATGACAACTTTAGTTTTGGCTATGTTAGACCACCAGATACTCCAGTAATGAATGTATAGCAAAATGACAAAACTCAAAATATAGGAATGTATCTTTTTTTAATTCCGTATGAATCAGGTAAAAGTCCAGGGTAGCATAATTGTTCTTATAACCAAAATACAGAGGTCAGGGGCACGCTAACTTCATAAGTAATAGCACAACTGAGTAATTTTTTTTTTAATTTTTAGAAATAACTGAAATCATCCCAGCTTTGAAATATGCATGGTGAAATGATCCCCCCAACTCTTCCAACAAAGCAGTCCCTTCAAAAAATGGCATTTATAAAAAGCCTGTAATTTTCTTAACTTCACCAAGAAAAGATGACCAATAAGATTTTCTAACTCAGAATAAGAAGAAATGTATTATTAACATAAAGAAAAGTTGTTTCAACTGATCTGGTCCCATCACCCCAGTAGATAAACACAGCTCATGTCTGGTTTGTCTCTCTCTCTCTCTCTCTCATATTTTTATGCTCAAAAGTGAGAGGCTGGTCTTAGAACCTGTTTCTCATGTCATTTTAAAAACATAGCATAATATAAGTCAATCAAAAGGTTAAGATAAAATGCACATGATATCAGAGCTAGCCTTTTAACAGAAGAAAGCATAATGAAGAATTTGGTATATTTATACTACAGAGACAATGAGAAAATAACTCTGATAGCCTCATCTAAATAAATCGTATTTCTACAATACATTCTGTTACCTTCCTCTATTTTCACCTAAGCACACATTCATCTCTCTCACACACGTGCCCCCAATGTATATTTTTGCATGTGTGTAAAACCACAAACAGAGACATGCACACAAGTAATTTAATTCTATTTTTAAGTCACAGTGGGAATTCCTTAGTGAGGAGGGATAAAAAGTTCCTGAATAAGACACTGAGAACATCTAGATTTATTATTTTCTCTATTTTACTTCCCAACTTACAGAATAAACTGTAAATTAAAGAATAAATCCATAGGAAATAAAAGAGGTCTTAAAAACTTAGTTTACAAATTCCAGCTACAGTAGTTGGGAGTTTTGCTTGATCTATGTATTTCTATTTACCCTGTAACTAAGCTTCTAGCCATCTTAAGTGTAAACCACAGATCATTTACTAAAGAAACACAATTCCCAACAGTTCTAATGAGCAGTAATAAATGGTCTAAAGGTGTACTACATTTTGAGGCCCCAGGATAGCCTTTTATTTTATATATCTGCAAGGTAGCAAAGGATAGCTATACACCTTGACACGGCAGAGATCCAGTGTAAAAAGGTGCTTCACTAGTTTGTCAAAAAAAAAAAAAAAAAAAAAAGCTCATATATAATTTTTTAAGCTATTAAAACACATAGGCAACATAATTCATTACACTCAATACAGCTTTAGTATAAAACTTATAATTTATGAGGTGATGTTAATAGTATAAATTAATATACCTTTTCTCTTAAAATCTACAATAAGTATTCTGAAAGCTCATTGGGGAAGGAAATTTTTAAATAAAACTTTTAAAGCTGTGCGTGATGGGAAAGGATTCTGTTTGCTGAAGCAGAGATGAGAGCCTGAAGGAGAAAGGAAAAAAGTCCTACGCAAGACACGGTGGGCTACGAAACTGAACGTTTTCTCTTTCTTGCGCTCTCTTTAATCATGAGTCACCTTTAGTTTCTTTTTAAAACTATTTTCTTACTTTAAAAACTGCCCTAATTTCCACAAGGAATCCCTGAGACATACTCAACACTATACAGTGAGAAGAGTAATCACTGTGAAGAGGGACTGATTTCAACCCTTCCGAGCAGATGAAGACAATGTCACAAGCATCCAACTTCCCATCACTTGCACACTCATGTGCCGGAGCCGACGGGGCCTTAACGATGCAGGGTGGAGTCAGTTCAGGGCAAATCAGTCTATTCCCCAAGCAAAAGCAATGGTGTGGCATTTTGCAGCACTGCATGTTGAACATTTTCCAAGGGGAACTTTGGGTGCATACAGAGCTTACTTCCGTGGTCCCCAGCTCAAAAAAAAAAAACCAAACAAAAACCAAACAAAACCAAACCAAATCGAAGAGGCGGCTTTTATTACTCTTAGGCCAGGATCAGGGCAGATCAGGGGTGCGTGTGTAGACTTGACGACCGGGGGGGGGGCGCTGAGGCCAGCAGGCAGGAGGGAAAAGGGAAGGAGAGCTGGGCTGCCCAAACAGAGCTTACTAACAGACAGCTTTTCTCTTACAACACCGTTTTTCAGACTCAACTTTAGATCCCCCAAAACTCTGCCAAAGTAGTCAAACATTCCCAACATGTGGGAACCTAGTTTCTGGTACAGAAAGCCATACCAAATTTGCTCTCTCTCTGAAATGCCACCCATCCTTTATTGGCTCTGTATCACAGTGCAGAGAGAGGGATGCTAACAGAAATTAGAGCTGAAGGGAAAGAGAATTTTTGCTATTTAGAAATGAGGCTCTCCAAGTCGGCCCCATGGTGTTTGCATAATGACACTGACTATTAGGAGACATAATTATTCACTTGTATTTTAGGTTTTCTTTCCCAACTCACTGGTCAGGGGGAAATGCTTAACAGATAAGATACCCAAATAGGTCCTTCACTGGTATTTTATTTCAAATCTTCTGAAAGATAGCATTTAAAGTGTTACTTTAATCTACTAAACATGGATTCTGGTTCCCTCCAGAATAGGATATTGGAGAGCTCATGAGGCTCCAGATATTAGGAAGTCATTGTTTAACCTTTCTACAGAATGCCAGTGAAGATTCCATATTTCCAATGTATTGTGAGAGGGAAAAAAAAAAAATCTATGTTCTATGACATATATATTTCCACCTCCTACCTCACCCCCAAGAAGTGTATTTCTCATCAGGAAAAAATCCTTGGAACGACGTAGGTGTTGGTGATGAAAGAGATACAGATGAAGACTATTCAGTATGACTACATTTTCTTCTAAGGAATCCTTGAAATCGCCTCATTCACCTGCAGAGTTCTGCTGACCATGCAGAAGACCACTGTATTAGATTCATCTATATATACCAGATTAAAAACAGAATTTAGTAGAATGTTAAAAGGCTAAAACGAAAGAGGCTGAAGAATCTGAAAACTAGATACCTAAAAAAAATTTTTTAATGAATTCCAAACCTATTAAATAATGAGTTTAGTGTTATGAATATCCTCATCTTTTTGCAATACCAATCCACAACCACCTATGGAACTAACTTGCAGAGAAGGTGATTGCCTCACACAAACATTGCTGATGCAGCCTACGACCGCCACCACCACCCCCATGATGCCAGGGCGCAGGAAGGACTGCAGGCAAGTAACATGAGCTGATGGCGTGGGAGTTACCTACATAGACTCAAAAGTCGAGGGCCAACTGGTAAAAACCCCGAATGGTACAGGGGCATGTGACTGGCTCAGTCGGTAGAGCATGTGACTCTCGATCTCAGGGTTGTGAGTTCAAGCCCCACACTGGGTGTGGAGCCTACTTAAAACAAAACAAAACTGAATGGTACAGGTCAATAGAAATATAAATTCTTTCACATAAGAAGAAAGCTTACAGATTGGGCATGGATCACAGACACTGTTTCCTTCCAAATCAAAGCACTGTCTTTGCCTCTGGGTTGTGATCAAGGACTGCGAATGAGCTCTCATAAGGAAAAGCTTTAGTGTTAGTCACAGAAAGTGAGGATTCTTAGCTTGCAGTTGAGAGACTGGGCTTGTTGAAGAAATAAATCTTATAAATAATTATTTGGCAAAGATAAAGTATTAGCTTTCTTTAGCCTGACGCCACTCGAGACGGTAACTACAATTTTAAGGAAAAGGGGAAAAAAAAAAAAACCCCACATTTTCCAACTTTATCTCCATACCTACTATTTGCTTCTCATTAAATTATAGTCTTTTCGTGGAGGGTCACCAGACACACCGCAGTGCCTGCCAGCATGAAATTGCTCAGGAAGTCATTTATAAAGCAGTTCTATCTCACATGGTAGGTTACTAGAGAGGGAAAAAAAAAATCCTTCACCGTATAAGCTATGTGACGATAATTACAAAATTTTTCCATTGCATAGTCTGTCATTTGGTGGGTTAAGTGTAATTGCTATTTACTATTGTGAATTGTTTACTAGCTACATAACCTACGCAGATGTGCAAATTACTAAGCCATTTTTACAGAGGAAAAAACAATGTCTTAAGTACTTTAATTAAAATAATATTAACAATTATGCAGAGAGAGTAAAGGAGAGAAAACACATCTTTTTTTCAATGCTATAAGATCACAGCCAGTGAGTATCATTCCTTAGAATGGAATTCAGATTCTCTGAGTACAGAATGTATCCATGAACTGCAGCAACTTTGTAAATAAATCACATTAACACAATCTAACTGGCCTTTATAAATGGTCCCAAAGAACTGCAGAAACAGAGTGAACTTCTCTGCCACCATTTCTCATGAGTTTCACACTAGAATAAAAGCTAGTTTCCACCTAATTAGGACCTTACATAAAATTTGTTTTTGATTCCAGTATTGCCTTATGATAGCGTAAGCGCTATTTGAAAGACACAAATTTTCATATTTCTGGAGTAAAAGACACTTCATTCCTTTCTCTACACATGAACAGCAAACCTACTAACAGACTAGAATTGCTCTCCATTAGCTAAAAGAAAAACCTAACGGGTTATCTCTGGGTTCACAGATGTTCTTCTCTCTTCCGAAAAGGGACTCACAAGAAGCCGCAAGAGCAAAGCAAATGGCAAGCTTGGATGTTGGTTTTGAAGGAGACGAAATGAAAGGACAAATTTGTTGGGGGGTTTTTTTGTGTTTTTTTTTTTTTTTTTTTTTTCTAATTCCTCAAACCTACACTGGTACTTCCTACGGGCGCCCCTTCTTCAGCTATCCCTGTGGGCATCTAAACAAAAATGAACTGACTCAAAGTTTTTGGTGTGAAGCTGAAACTGGCAACATTCCTGATCATTTTATGCCTCCTTACCAGAAAGCAGGAAAGGGCTTTTCAATGCACATAAAACAGAAAATTGCGAACAAGAAAATGTGCAACTTACTGCAAACTCAGTTTGGATAACTGAAGAATTTTAAGCAGCTACCACGAGGGACAAAGAGCCAGAGAAGTTCAAACCGACTGCCCATGACTTTCCCTTTGCTGTCAGAGAAGGGCCGGTAGATAAGATAGCCGGTGCGCTGCTACAACCTTGGATGAGTACACGATGGAGACTAGAGCGATTGCTGGGAACAGACAGTTATCTAGGGGTAATCTGAATGGGAAGTGAAAGAGTAGAGCAAATGAAGTGATACTTTTGAGCAGAGGTAACTACTCGTCATCATTTCATTACAGTACATTAAAATAAAAAAGCTTCCTAACATAGGTTCACAGGTGAGAGATGCTCAAATGATCTGTCCTCACCATTCAGAATAGAAATTTATGGTGATACCAAATATAATTTTGCTTTGTGACATAATTTATAATTTAGAAATTTCTCAATCTGCAAAAAAGGCAAAGCTATTAAAAAATAAATCTTCCAATCAATTATCATGATTAAAAAAAAAAAAACTAAATATATTACAAATGTATTTTTGGCCCACAAAAAGAAAACTTCAATAAATACAAAATAGGGCATATAATGATTTCATACAGTCATGTGACATTTCCCCTCCATAATCTCAGGCACGTGGTATCTGCATAATGCCTGCTGATCACCATCATTCCTTTAAAAAGCAGAGAAAGAAAAGCTTTCAAAAGAAGGGACTGGTTAGAATTAGCATGGCATAAAGAGAATACATACAGGAAGTAGGAAAATACATCCAAATCTTTACCTATTGAAAAGGAATTAAGATCAAATATTCCCTGACAAATGAATTATTATATCACATCATTAATAGATATGTTCTTTCTACTCATCTTTTAAAATATATATATGTAAATTAGACTAGACTCAGGTACAAATAGCCAATGGTATCTCAGGGGACAGTGAAACTTCTCAGCAAAAGCAGAGCACAGATGCCTTTAGAATCTAGTTCCACCCTTGGGGAGGGGGCAGGGGAGAAGGCAGGTAAAAAGAAACCTCATAGATTTATTTCATAGTCACCAACTCACTAAACAATATGATTTTTAACCCTAAAATCCTGGTACTTTAAAAAAAATTTCCCCAAACTTAAACCTAACTACTTCAATTATTTTAAAAGTACCAAAGGGTGGGTACAATTTATGTCTAATTTCCATATTCTGCTCTGAAAGAAACTTTAAAATGTGTATCCTTCAGATATTACACATCACTTCACAACTGGTACATTGATTCTACAAGTGTCTTCAACATTTTACAAATCTTACCGAAGAATCACTACTGTAAACATGAAAAAGTCAAAAGTAAAAGACGGATCAAGGAGTTCAGAGATCCCATCTTTCCAAATCTAGCTGACCTATCCTGCTTTTCACATCAAAATACGGTCTTTTTATAATTACATCTCGTGAACGTATTCCATGAGAGAGGGATGGAGAAACAAAATGCGCATCTAAAAAGGCAAAGTAACCACCGGACCTCAGAATCTCAGCAACCCTGCAGTCACTCCACATGAGCTTTCTGTGGCGTCCGCACGGCCCTGACGTGAATTCGGCTTTCTGCATTCTCGGATCACCAAGCAGAACGGGCTTGTGCAATTCGCATCATCAGCCCACCACCCTCTGTGCGCGGGAGACTTTGCTAATTCAGGGGGAATGACCAACCTGATAAGGGTTCTGAGATGTGGGAAAGGAGAAGTCAGAGCCTTACGCTCGTTAGGAAAAAGAAATAAAACAACAACAACAACAACAACAACAACGGGACAGCTGCTTCCTGCCCTGCACAAAAACACACACATGGGCACACACATACACAAAGGCGGTCAAAAGACTAATTTTTTTCTTTTTAATTGAACATGATCACGATTAGGGATGGAATCCTGGCCTCATGTGGTGTCTAGCAGTTGGTGCTAAGGCAGAGCCTCGATCTGCCCGCTATGCACCACCGCTACCGCTTACACAGGAACTCAATGAATAGGACCATTCTATCTAGAACCACCTCCGTAAAGACCTGGTCATAGAATGGAAAGCATTGATCTGAATACTAGGAAATAGTAAAGGGCACTGGTAATCTGAGGTATCTTCCACTTCTAGGACTTGCTGCTAAAAATCAACTCTAGCCAGTCACTGTGCTGAGCCACTAAGGAAACCATTGGGGTAGAGAGAACCCGCCAGGAGGGAATGAGCACCAGTGCGAAGGAGCACGCGTGAACACTGAAGCAAGGTCCGCCGCAGGCTTGCTTGCTGAACCGGGAAAGGGAGTTCCCCTTTAGTCCCCATCTGTTATTTTTAAAATCTTCTTTAGGAAAAGGGGGAAAGGGATGCTAAACAGGAAACAAAGATAGAAAACACCAGGTTCCCCACCTGCCTGCAAACACACAGACACGCTCAGTTAGGGGAGGTAAAGGGAGAAGATGCATTATTGGTACTTGTAGCTGTGGCACCTGTTACTGTGAAGCCTGTAGGAGGGGCTATCGAGCTGTGGCTGGGCTGCAGGTCCTTAGGAATGCCACTGTGAGAACTCAGCTGGTGGCCGAAGGCTGCGCTGAACTGAGGGAGTTGCTGCTTGGGAGAGGTGGAGGCCATGAGTTCAGCAGAAGGCCCCATGCCACTGAAGCTGGTCTGCGGTAACCCCGGAAGCACACTGGAGCTGCTGGGGGTCACGGTGGCGAAGGCAGGCTGTGTGGTCTCTGAGTTCGACGTGGTGGGTGGTGTGGATAGGGAAGTGGAAAGAAGATGTCCATCTGCGCCGAGAAGGTTGCTAAATGGAGAGGGATCTCCAAGGTTGACAGGGAGATTGCCCCAGTGAGTTCTGGGGTTTACGACTCCTCCAAGTGGCACCTCAAGTTGGGTTGGGAGCAAGTGCTGCGCCATAATGGGCATCTCTGCTGAAAAGGTAGCTGCCATATTATCACCAGAATAAGATGCTGTGTGGGGAGAGGTGATATGGTCACTGTAGGGAGACGGCACGTGCTCGCTATCGTAATGGCTTCCATGGGGCGAGGAGTGTGAATGATCACTGCTGTATTGCTGTCGTGAGGTGATGAGGTCATCTGCCTTGCTCAGCAGCTGGGCAGGGTGTGGCCTCTGGGAGGCATGGCTGCCGTCATGTAGTCCATGAAACTGTCCTGGGAAGGCTCTCTCCCCAAGTGCACTCTGGCTGATCAGAGTGGCAGAAGTAAGGCCAACGTTGGCTGGGGCAGAGAACTGCCCCTGGATCTGCCCTGCCAGGGGTGTAGGTGGGTTAGACAAGGTAGCAGAACGGAGCAGGTTCTCATCCAGCTCTAGACTAGAGAAATTATCATGTACTATGCGCCCATTCAATAGCTCCCCTAGGTCCGTGTTAACTTCTCGGCTCAAGGACTGAATTCCTGAAGCTCCAGTACCTGTGGAGAACACCCCTATTCCTCTATCTGACAACTCCTGGACTGGCACACCATCTGACTGGGTAAGTACCCCAATGGTACTCAGGCACTCAAGAGAAGTTACAGCCTGCAGGGCCCGTTCAAGTTCCTCGGCCTCTTCGGTAGTTGGAAGGAGGTCTCCATTCTTTCCTGAGAAAAACAAAAGCCATCAAGAATCAGCAGAGCTTTTACTGGTGCCATACCACAAAACCACACATCTGAATTACTTTTTAACAATATTCTATTAAAGGGGCGCCTGGGTGGCTCAGTCGGTTGAGCTCTGACTCTTGATTTCAGCTCAGGTCATGATCTCAGCGTCGTGAGACAGAGCCCCAAGTCGGGCTCCATGCTGAGTGTCCCAAGTCTTCTTAAAAGTTTCTCGCTCCCTCTGCCCCCCCCGCCCCCGTACACATGCTCTCTCTCTCTCAAATAAATAAATCAATCTTTTAAAAAATGGGCGCCTGGGTGGCTCAGTCAGTTAAGCGTCTGCCTTCAGCTCAGGTCATGATCCCAGGGTCCTGGGATCAAGTCCCACGTCAGGCTCCCTGCTCGGCAATGAATCTGCTTCTCCCTCTCCCTCACCCATGGGCATGCGCTCTCTCCCTCTCAAATAAATAAATAAAACCTTAAAAAAACAAAAAACAAACAACAGCAACAAAAAAAACCATGGGGGCCTGTGTGGCTCAGTTGGTTAAGCATCCAACTCTTGATTTCAGTTCAGGTTATCACCTCAGGGTCGTGGGATCAAGCCCCACGTTGGGCTTCACGCTCAGCGAGGAGTCTGAGATTCTCTCCCTCTGCCCCTCCCCCCACACATGTGAGTGCTCGCTAATAAATAAGTAAATCTTCAAAACCAAACCAAATCAATATTCTATTAAAGAGAATCCCTGTGGAATGGAGAATCTTCCAAGGACTGGATTGGAACGAAAGAGTGAATATGAATCCATAGGACAGGCCTGAAAGGTCGAGCTGTCTTGGAACCTGCATCACATCTTCAGTTTATTCACAGTACTCCCTAAACCCAACTCATCAAAGCATTAAATTCTTAAGGATTGTAAGCAATACCAACTTAAAAAGCACGGTGACCAGTCTAATTACACATACGGTTTTACGTAAACTTATGTTAAAATCATAAAAATAGGAAACATATCATATTGGTTCAGACTGGAGACAAAAGGCTGTGTAGGAATCCCCCCTTGGTTCTTCTGCTCTTGAACTCCTTCCTCCAGCTGGAGGGCGGCTGCGGAAGACTGGAACAGAGAGACTCATGCTTGCATGTGAGCACCCCGCACTCCCCTCCACTCAGACATTATCTTTTAAAATGCTTTTGTGTGACCTGCTAATCCTGCTCCTTTCGTTCTATTTTTCGTAAGATGGAAGCCCATGGGCTGCTGCTGATTTCATTTCCAATATAAAAAATCTAGGGATGCCTAGGTGGTTCAGGTCATGATCCCAGGGTCCTGGGATCGAGTCCTGCATCGGGCTCCTGCTTTGCAGAGAGCCTGCTTCTCCTTCTGCCTGCTGCTCTGCCTGCTTGCGCTGTCAAATAAATAAAATCTTTAAAAAAACCAAAACTATATAGTGGGGAACTTGACTAATCACCACAAAAATACCCAGTTTTTAATGGGGAAAGAAACATTCTAAGAATATAAAAGGTTTCCCCTGAAAGCACCAGAGAACTGGTGGGATTAAGCAAACTTAGTTTTGGAAAAATGCACTTCAACTGACGTACAGGTAATTAAGATTAGGACAAGTTCTAAAAGGCTTCAATTAACTCAAGTTTAAAATGTTTCCATTGGGACACCTGGTTGGCCCAGTCGTTAAGTGTCTGCCTTCGGCTCAGGTCACGATCCCAGGGTCCTGGGATCGAGTCCCGCATCAGGCTCCCTGCTCAGCAGGAGGCCTGCTTCTCCCTCTGCCTGGGGCTCCCCCTGGTTGTGCATGCTCTTTCTCTGACAAATAAATAAAATCTTAAAAAAAAAAAAAAAAAAAAAAAAAGTTTTTGTTGAAAAACAAAGTAAAATGACTCCTTTTTAAAGCAACAAAGTTAAAAACCTAACAACTGAATGATCAATTTACTAAGCCTACAGTATGGTGAGAAAAACCACACAGCCCTTGCCTTCTGGAACGGGGAAAATAGCTTTAGCGGTGCTGCATTTTCTATCCATGAGGAGGGGTACTTCAAACACATCTCAAAAACACGATTTCCCTTTTTAAAAACTCATTAAAAAAAAAAAGTCTTGAATCAAAATGTTGACCACACCTTCAAAAAAATCAAAGTCTTGTAAGTCATCAGGTAGCCGTGGCAGGACGTCTGAAAAGTCCTCCTGGTTCAATTCCAAGTCATGTGGAATGTCAGTGATCTCATTGGCAATGTCATCCGGCAACTCATCAGCACTCAGCTCCGGCGTGGACGGGCTCCTAGGGAAGAGGACATGGTTGGCCCCACCACTCCCCTTTTCCCTTCACACTAGTGTCCCCAAGACAAGTTCATCAAACACGAAGATGGAAAATCCTAACTCAAACTGTCTCCTTTTCCTACTTTCAGAGAAGGAAATGTGAAAGCAAAAGGAAGACCTCGCCATCCAGTCACACTTTTCTGCAGCTTTTAACCAGGTATTAAGAGAAGGCAACCATTTCGAGATGGTATTTCTAACTTCAAATTAGTAGCATGAATTAGTTTTGTGCACTGTGTCTTCATACTTTTTAGTAAATTACAAATCTAGTCGAAATTATAATTTTTAAAAATGACATAAACAGATAAAATGGAGATGCTTAGCTGAAACAGAAGCCTCATTCATCTGGTGAAAATGCTAACCCCTGCCAAAATTAGTAATGCATTAGAATTCTGATGCAATCTTTCTGTTGACACATATATGAAATTTCTGTTAAAACAGAAAAATCTGAGAGTAGACAATTAAATTCTCAATTTCGGCATCTGCTTTCTGTGTTATAACCAAAAGCTTTATTTCAGATCTCACTCAGTCAAGTACTGGGTAAAAATTACACTGAAATCTACAAAGCCTAGGCTGATTTATCGAAATGGCTTCTGGAGGCCGGCCGCAACGCTAGAGAAGAACGCAAGCTAGATGTTCTGAGAACCATCGAACACAGAAAGGAAACGTAAGCTTTGGCACCGTCACTGACCGGATCTGAGCAACCTCCACTGGCAGTGAGACGCTGGTGGGCATGCTGAGGTTCCCTTGGGGTACTGCAGGGGGAATGGGTTTTTGGGGTCGACGAGGTCCACGCCTTCTCTTCTTCTTGTGTTTTTTGGTAAGTGCAGGAGGCTTGGTTTTTTTCCTGGGTTTCCTCTGCTGCTGGTGCTGAACTTTACGGGAGCTATCTCCTCTCAAGAAATTATCCTTCGGAATGAATAAATGGGTACTTTTAAACTGAGACCGTTTAGGAAAAACCTAACAGCTACCTGAAAAAAAATATATCTCTTAACATTCTGTGGAATGCCTAAAGCATACTGCATGCCTACAACTATGCAGAGCAATGAATAAATGAATAAAGACTTCATTTTTTAGTTTAATTCAAATCAATTCAATATATACATACAGTTCATCCCATACTGTGAGACCATGGCAGGCCAAGGGGGTGGTGCAGGTGGTAGAAGGGACAGGGGGGAAAAAAAAAGACATCGGGATAGGTGCTGTAGTATAAAAATATAATGAATGAAATGTAATTGCACTCTCAAAGAACTTACTCTTCCATAGGAAAAACATGAATACAAGTATACATAAATACAGTACAGAGAAAATAGGGTAATAATGACCTTCTATGGGTACACAAAAGGAAAATCAATTATTTGTAATTTTGCTTGATTAAAAGGAAATGGCACAAACAAGACAAAAAGAACAGCAAATAACCAGGTATGATTGGTGCTTGGGGTGTGGCGTATGGAGGATGGAATATGAAAGTAAGCTGTAAAGTTTAGGACCAGATCGTATATGACTTTGAATACCCTGTTAAGGATTTTCAACTTCATCTTAGAGGCAATGTGAAATGATTTTTGATGAAAGGATTAACACAACTTGACATGTTTTGAAAGGAGTAACTAGGCTGGTAGCAAGGGGAAGTGGAGGCATTATTTCCAATCAGAGGGCTACTTCAACAGTCAATACAAGGTAAACGACTAAGGCGATATGAGTGGGAATGGAAAAGCAAGGCCCTGTAGGGACAGAATTCTCAAGATTTGACAGCTCCTTGGATGTGGTGAGGATGAAGGGAAGAGAGCAGTCGAAGACGCCTCTAGGGTTTCTAGGGTTGACTGTTAGATGATATCATTAGTTGGAACAGAGCACACAGCAGAATAAGGATTCAGAAGAAAAGTTAAAGAATTCAGTTTGGCTCAAAATTTGAGGTATGAAGATGTCCCAGGAGATAGGAGAAAACGGTATAAGGGATAAAGAATGGGGTGGAGATGTAGCCTCAGAAATCATGACACAGTAGAAGTCCTTCCAGTCATTGACCCAGGCCAGGGAGACCGGTAAAGAGAGACCGTGGGACTTCAGTGTTATAAAACTGTTCCAATTAAGTGAGCAGAGAGAGGAAGAACCAGCCAGGAAGAACAAGAAACTGACCATATAACCAGACTTCTTCAGTGGCCACCCTTCAATCTGAATACTGTGTTTCATTAGTTCCAAGTTACACATTGTAGCATCTCTGTAATTGAGGTCCATCTTACAACTGCTGTTGGCCTGGTGATGGTCATGATAGTTGGCGTTGCCTACAGATGTGCGTATGTTCTTGGTACTGTTGCTGTTTTGAGTCGAGGGATGTGTGTTATTGGTTTTACACGAAGAGGAAAAGCTGAGTGTGCGAAAGCACAAAGAGAAGCAGCGTATACAACTGTCATTAGTGAAGCAAATACTCATTATTGAAGATCTGACCACAATTCCTTTTTTTTTGTAAAGCAACAACCAAATGAGAAAGGAACACAACCACGAAGTAAACAAAACTGTGTTACAGTTGATGTACACAGAAAACACTGCCTTTCCCGCGTCAAGTAATTCAGCGGAAACCAGGAGCTTTAGAAAAGATAAAAATCTATGCCTGATTAAGTCTAAAGAAGCTATTTTGATAAATATAAAACAAAAATTGTTAAGTGGTAAGAAATGCACCGTGCCCCATTTTTTAAATTTCTTGGTGGTATATAAAACAATTGTGGTTTTTACAATTGATGTCACTTTTGATTTAGTGAATTCATTAATAACTCGTAACTAAAGACATAAAATGAGTACAAAGTATTTGAAAACTAATAACTAAAACTAGTTATTAATACTAGCAAACAAATTCAAGACAAGAAAGAATAAAATTAAATTATCAATTCAGGAAATGCAAAAGAAGTTTAATACTAGCCAAATCCTTGGATCTAAATTACAGACTCAAGTCACAAATGTACAAATTTATGAAACAAACAAAAAAAGAAAGGCTGTTTCCCAGCATCTGTAGTTCTTTGGCTCAATACTTGAGGTCTACTTTTATTATTATCAGCTATTTAATTCAACAAACAGTGTCTGAGCAACCACTGGTACCCACCAGGGTGCTGGGCATCCACCCCAGGCTCTCCCCCTAGGACCAGTGTGGATGTTAGGCAGGAGAAAGGTTATGTAGCCCAAGATCTACACGTCCTACTTGTAAGACACTCCGGTACCACCTAGTTCTGGTTCTAGGTGTATGTCTTATCCTCCTAAGTTTATGCCTTGTAGCCCAACAATGTTGTTGGTCATGTGCCAGGTACTCCACACAGAACTGCCCCCGCCTGAGGCCCTGTGGGCTCTTGGTAGTCCCCTACAGAGCTCCTCCGGAGCACTGGTGCCTCCAGGCCCTAGAGGCTTTCCTCATGCCATCCATCCATTGCCTACACTATTCACTCCCAACTTGCTCACTGTCTCCTACTTACGTGCCAGGACACTGCATTTACCCATCTGTCGTATGGGTTCATACTCATCGAATACCAAGTTCTGTGTATCAGCCTGGACTTCCTGTAGCTTGAGCTGCTTCTACCAATGGCTGTTCTGTCCAGTGGCTGAACCTAATTCCGAATTTCAACATTTCCCAGCCATGTGCCCAACTGTTATTCAACAATGACTTACTGAGCATCTTTGTTCTAAGCACTGGGGATATAGCAATGAACAAAAAATGTTCCTGCCTTTGTCAAATTGACATTCTAGTAGAGGAATACTGGCAATAAACAAACTAATTAATAGATAATATAGTATCAGGCTGATATCACTGTTAGGAAGAAAAACAAGGTAGAGTTTTGAGGATAAAAAATGACAGGGGCGGGGGCACCTGGGTGGCTCAGTTGGTTAAGCGACTGCCTTCGGCTCAGGTCATGATCCTGGAGTCCTGGGATCGAGTCCCACATCGGGCTCCCTGCTCGGCGGGGAGTCTGCTTCTCCCTCTGACCCTCCTCCCTCTCTCATGCTCTCTGTCTCTCATTCTCTCTCTCACAAATAAATAAAATCTTTAAAAAAAAAAAAAATGACAGGGGTGGAGAGGAGGTGGAAGACTTCTTTGATGAAGTGACATCTGATTGGAAACCTGAATGAAGGAGTGAGGCATGCAGAAATGGAGGAAAAGGGACAAACAAGCACAAAGCCCATGAGGTGCGAGCAAGCTTCGAGTGCTGAAACAGCAGCAAGAAGGCTGATGTTGCTAGAACTCTGAAAGTGAAGGGGGTACTATATGCAGCTGGAGAGACGGCAAAGACCAGATCAGCAAGTCTCGTAGGCCAGGGTGAGAATCTTGGATTTGATTCAGGCTATGATGGAAAGCCACTGGAAGGTTCTGACCAGGGAACTAAAACGATCACATGTATATTCTCAAAGGCCTGCTGAGATGGCCACATACTGTAGGATTCCAATTATAAGACATTCTGGAAAATGTAAAATTGTAGGGGCAGGAAGACTTCAGTGGAGACAGAGGGAGGGGTAGACTGCAGGGGCTGGGGGTAACACAAGAGAATGTGGGGGGTTAATGGCGTATCTTGATTACGTCGGTGGTTACAGGACTGTGTGTATTGTGAAACTCAGAGAACTGTGGAGCAAAAGGAGTGAATTTTACGGCACGTGAACTCAAAGGGAGTGGAGCCCATACAGCCTACTCTAGCTGCTATGTGAACAATACGTCTGGGGGTAGGGGGCACGGCTAGAGCAAGGGGGACCAATTAGGAAACTATTAGAGTCATCCAGGCAAAGGTGAGGACAACTGAGGCTAGAATGGTAGTAGCCAAGCTGGTACTACGTGCTTGGATTCAAGAACGTTTGAACACAGAGCCAAGAGATTTGTATGGTTTTTATCATCCAGTGTGAGCCTCTCACTGTGGATTGATGGCTACAAATGTTTGCTACACTCAGCTGGGATTTTTAACTTAAAACAGTCCTTGCTACACATTTTGCTGGTGGCAACACCAGGATCACAGCCTTATATTATTAAGTCCTGGTCCAATGGCCATGCAGTTACCCTGGTGCACCCTTAGAACTACAAAATGCTTACAGAGGGAAAGATTGGTCTTATTCAGCTTTTTAATACATATACCTTACATACTACCTAGCAAAGAGCCGAACTCAGCCAAGTATCTGGGTAAAAACAATAAAAATGCACTTAATTACAGAAAACATTGGCTTGTGGCTGAAATGTCATCAAATATCTAAGACATTCACAGAATTGTATATAAAAAAGCAAAAATCTAGAGAAATGGGGCAAAGAAAGCTTGAATAATCTGTTAAGTACAAGAAAATGTACCTTAAGGAAAAGGGAGGTATAGAATAGGGATAGATAACAAAATAACCATATGTAAGTAACTACTAAATACCTTCTAGAACAGTTTTTTTTTAATTAGCTATGAAATTAATTCAGTGGATCATGACCAGCACATATATATCTATATATTAATATTTATATACATATTTATATATTAACATATATTTACATACACACACAGTTTGTACTAAGTCAACAGATACTTTCTACTATGGATTGCTGTCCATTTGAAAGTCTCTGCTGCAGAAAATAAAATGTGAGGGCGCCTGGGTGGCTCAGTTGGGTAAGCGACTGCCTTCAGCTCAGGTCATGATCCTGGAGTCCTGGGATCAAGTCCCACATCGGGCTCCCTGCTCAGCGGGGGGTCTGCTTCTCCCTCTGACCCTCCCCCCTCTCATGTGCTTGCTCTCTCATTCTCTCTCTCTCAAATAAAATCTTAAAAAAAAAAAAAAAAGAAAAAAAAAGAAAAGAAAATGTGAACTCACCATTTTTTTGGCATGCTCTTCACACAGAGGGGTCTGGTGTGTAATGTCGAACACGGGCACAGAGCACTGCTGTCCGTCTGCAAACTTGGCCGTGCAACTTGAGAAAAGCTGCTGAGAGCGGTTCAAGAGGATATCTGTGGTTTTCAAAGTTAGGAATATAATGCACTGAAACTCAAATTACTTAAGTTTTCAATTTTTATATAAAATTCACTTCTGGACCCCTTTGGGGGCACAGTTGGTTAAGCGCCCAACTCTTGGTTTTGGCTCAGGTTGTGGTCTCAGGGTCATGGGATCAAGCCCCGTACGGGGCTCCGTGCTCAGTGGGGAGTCTGCTTGAGATTCTCTCTCCTTTGCCCTCTCCCTCACCGCATGCACGCACGCACTCTCTCTCTAAATACTTTAGTCTTTAAGAAAAAAAATCTGCTTCTTTCCTTATTTGTGTTTACTAATAAATTTTCTTATCCATAAAAGCTGAAGAACCAAGCCAAATACTGATATAGGAAATGAGAATTGCTGAATTTATCAGAAGATACTTCTAAAGGAGTCTATTTTGCTAAAGGTCTCCTAATAGGAGTCTCCTTTACGGACATTCTGATTTTTGTTATTTGGAAAAAGCAGGGTTGTCTCCTTCTTAACACACTAAAACTCCTAGAAGTCCCACTACAATGGTTAGAAAAAAACACTTTCTTTTAAGGAAAATTTTCACATATAATCCACATCAAGAAGAATAAAAATTTTAAGATGTAATTATAAAAACTCATCTATCCAGGGTGCCTGGGTGGCTCAGTCGTTAAGCGTCTGCCTTCAGCTCAGGTCATGATCTCAGGGTCCTGGAATTGAGTCCCGCATCGGGCTCCCTACTCCTCGGGAAGCCCGCTTCTCCCTCTCCCACTCCCCTGGCTTGTGTTCCCTCTCTCGCTGTGTCTTTCTCTGTCAAATAAATAAATAAATAATCTTAAAAAAAAAAAAATAAAGTGGGCGCCTGGGTGGCTCAGATGGTTGAGCGTCTGCCTTCGGCTCAGGTCATGATCCCAGAGTCCTGGGATCGAGTCCCGCATCAGGCTCTCTGCTCCTTGGGAGCCTGCTTCTCCCTCTACCTCTCTCTCTCATGAATAAATAAATTAAAAAAATCTTTAAATAAATAAATAAAAAACAAAGTGACTTTCGAACACAGTAAAAAAACAAAAAACAAAAAACCTCACCTATCCAAATTTGATTTTTCATTTCCAACACAAAACTCTCACTTAGAACTTACGAAGAATTACTTTTTGATCAAAACTTTATCATTAAAACTGGAACATCAGCTTTACTTCATCAACATTTTTAAATGTCCAAACTTTTAGCCCCTAGCAACATTTCCTGAACTCGTAACTTCATACCTGTCAAGGAAGTACCTTTCTGTTTTTCCTTTATACTCTAATAGTTAAAGCTATTTATAAAACCTTTACTGCATAGAAAGTGCTGCTGAAAAAGTTGTGGAAATTTAATGCCAGGAATAGAAAGGAGGGCAAAAAGTCAAAGACAATAAAGAAGAGCAAGTAATTGCTACTATATAAATTTTTTAAATGCTACTCAATTTTAAATGCTTAATAAAAGTGAGAGTAGTAAGATTTCATAACCAGCCTGAAGCCCTTTACCACAGGTTTTCCTCAAGTATATTGTCTTAATGTATATTCTTTCTTAGTCAGTGATGTTTATCTGTCTCTCATTTCAAATCAGCACTATGCTCAATACAAATAGCAAATTATTCCCAGAGCAAAAGGCACACTGTAAAACTGTGTAACTTTCCTGGAAGACTAAAATCAGTTTTTGAATAATATGATTTGACTTCTCCATCAATGAGTGTTATAGTTGCTTCCTAGAAGCTACGCAGAACCACGTAAGAACCAGATTTCTTTTAATTAAGTGATGGCCACCAGAAGAATCTGCTACTTGCTATCAATTTTGCAGATTCTGATATAATTCTTGAATAGAGAATCACAATGATAGAAGCGGAAAAAAAATTATTCAGAAGACATCATGAAAATGAAAAGTTATATAAAAATTATAAACATGAAATGTTAGGATTTCAAAAGTCATCCACTTGGCTTAAGAATGAAATACTAGCCCCGAATGAGTTAATACTTTTCAATGCACACTCAATTCAGTTAAGAGGATACGCTGGAAACAATGTCTGGTGAATGGAAGGGCTTTGTTAGGGCACCGTTCACCCTTCACGGTTCCACTGCACGCTGCTGGCTCCGCCTCCCTCAACTTGGTCCGGCTTATGCTAAGAAAGCAAAGAGACAACATTAATTTCTAAAAAATGCTTTAAAGACCCAGGGCAACTTTTCAACACTAGGCTGGCAGGTTATAACACCAACATTTCACCTTTCTACATTCTTTAAATAAAAGGTAACCATCAGGTACAACGACAAGTTCCAGTATTTCCTCAATCTACTGACAAAACAAGTAACTGTATTATAATTGATTTCAACTATGCCTGTTTTTTCTTTTTAAGTGATATTTTGGTTCCTTTTGGGACACCTGGGTGGCTCAGTGGGTTAAGCATCTGCCTTCAGCTCAGGTCATGATCCCAGGGTCCTTGGATCAAGTCCCTCCTGCGTTGGACTCCTTGATTGGCAGGGAGTCTGCTTCTCCCTCTGCTTGTGCTCTCTCCCTCTCTCACACACACAAACACACAAATACTTTTTAAAAAACCCAAAAACAAAGAAAGAGATTTAAAATAAGTAAAATTTAAAAAAAGAGTCTCCTTTCTACCTACCCTTATCCCAATTTGCCAGTTCCCACTCTCTCTGTAACAAGTATTCATTTTATTATTTTGTGGATGTTTCCATAGTTTTAAACAAACATTACAAAATAAAAATAAATAATATTCAAGTTCTTAGAAGTACAAAAACTGTCCTGTGTAATTTGATTCTCTGAAGCATCACAAACTGGTAGGACTTTACACCTATCTGAGGGTAGAGAAAGAATCTACATAATATACTGAATCACACATCACGCATTAAAAATAAAATTATCTTTTGAATTGTTTCTAAGTCTAAGGACTTCAATAGGATTTATACTAATTAGAAGGTCATACAGAACCCAAATTACATATGAATTTACAGAAAATCTAAGTAAAATTTCTACTCTAACTTTTCTATAAACAATCCATGCAAATAGAGAACCAGGTGCTGCCATCGAAGCTGCTTTAATTAAGGTTCTGCAAGATGTGTCAGAATCACAAGAGTGGGGAAGCGGGCCATTAACTTAGGTCTGTAAAAAGGATACACAATTTCAAATAAATGAAGCTGTACTATTTCGGCAGCTTACCCCAATTCTCTTGGTCTAGATTTAAATAGAAAGCAATTCTCTATACTGAATGGATTATTTTTGTGGAACACTTCAAGAATCTGCTCAGCCATTTACCAAGCCTTGAGTACCACACATTCCCTCGTTTTCCTTTATCCTAGACTTCGAAGCGCCCGGTTTCATTTTGTAAAATTGGTGATACGTTCCAACTCACCCATCTATCTCTTAAACAGTAAAATAAACTCAAAGTCAAAATTTCAATACCTCCCTGGATAATTAAGGTAAAAATGCCTGATGTTAGACAGATTTGTATTATCCGAATAATCCCAATAAAACAAAGGGAGAATTACCAAAACATTTTGATGTTTTTAATGTGAAAACACCTACTACAAGCTTCCCTTTTGTATTATTAGATCCCCCTTTTACAATAAAGTTTCTACACAAACACTAGTCTCCGTAGGATTGTCGGCTACAAGATACTTAGATGTGAGTCTACATAGTTAAGCTATTTCAGTGGTTTATTCCATATATTCACCAATATATACGACAAAGCTATTAGATGAGAAAGAATAATGTTACTCAGTTTAGATCCAAACTGTATGTTAAAGGATACCTATATTAAAAGGCAGCCATTAAAGTTTTAACCTCTAAAACATTTAAAAGCAACTCTTTAAATGTCTTTGTGGAACTAGTCTTTGAAAGCAAAAACATCAAATAGTGGGCATTGTCCAACTGACAGCTGATTTTTGTGACCCTAAAATATAATGTAAAGTAGTAAACTACCAATCAACAACAATTGATTATGGCTCATTGTTAAAGGATTATCAGTGAGGCACTGAGCAATAAACTTTTTACTAATCATGAGTGACATAAACAAATGACATTAAATAAGTTTGAGAACTGAATATTAAAGTTCATCTTGGTATTTGTTTAGTAATATTTAATTATCACAAAATTTTAAAAAAAATCACTAATGGTGGTTTGGGAAATGTTTTTTTTTTTTTTTTTTTTCAAGATTTTATTTATTTATTTGAGACAGAATGAGAGACAGAGAGCATGAGAGGGAGGAGGGTCAGAGGGAGAAGCAGACTCCCCGCCGAGCAGGGAGCCCGATGCGGGACTCGATCCCGGGACTCCAGGATCATGACCTGAGCCGAAGGCAGTCGCTTAACCAACTGAGCCACCCAGGCGCCCGGTTTGGGAAATGTTTTGAAAAAAAAAGGGGGGGGGTTGATTCTGCCAGTTAAAAATCATAGATAAATACAGTTTTCTACACAAATATCGAATTGTCCCAAACTCAGAGTACAGTCCTTACTTACATCTTTGACAAGGTCATAATAATATACTAGATTCAATGTATATAACACTCTACACATATAGATTGCTTCATTGCTGGACAAAACTAAAGTCTCCACTGAAATCGTACACTTGAAAGCATTATCTAATGCAAATGTTAGATATCATTATTTTAAAACCTATGTCAAACCAAGTGAATTCTTTCAACAAATAGAGAACAGACGTCTCTTCACTTGTTTAATTCTATCCATTCGTTCATCAATACCGGAGATTTATGAACAAAATGTACATTGTTCCTGCCCTCACAAAAATGACTGTCTAGCTTGGGGCGCCTGGGTGGATCTATCGGTTAAGTGTCTGCCTCCGCCTCAGGTCATGATCTCAGGGTCCTGGGATCCAACCCTGTGTCAGGCTCCCTGCTCAGCAGGAAGTCTGCTTCTCCCTCTCCCTCTGCCCTCCCCCTGCCCGCTTGTGCTCTCGATCTCAAAATAAACAAAACCTTAAAAAAAGAGACTGTCTAGCCTGACAGAAATATTAGTATACAATTCCACAATGAAGCAGAGTACGGAGCACAATACACATACATAATCGGGGGACCTAATAGTGGAACACTGGGAATGTTTCTCTGAGAAAAGTTAAGTCTCTAGTAACTTAAGACTTAAAGGATGTTCTAGAACAGACCCTACCTTCCCCCCTACACAGGAATCGGGGCTCTAAGAGTGAGGTAATATGCTGCAGGCAGCAGTCATTAATGTGGGTGTATTAGACACACATACAAAGTTTCAAACAACTCTAAATATCCCAAGCAGCAGAAAATTCTCATGGGCATACTATCTTTCTGATATATGCAATTGAAAAATCAGTTATTTTTTTTTATAACAAATATAACGAAAACCAAAATACATTAAAGTAAAATGAAATTTCAAAAAATATATGGGTATGTAAAAAATACGATCAGGCTATAAAGCAAAAGATTTTTTAGTTTTATTTTAAACTCCTTTTTTCCTCAGTGACTCACGATCACTATAGAAAAATTAGAATATACGTAATACTAATTTTTTAAACCTTAATTTATCAATAATCCCATCCTCTAGATAGCCACTGCTAATATTTTGTTATATAAACTTATAAAAATGTGTGTGTGTATCTCAAGGTTGTTATCTGAAAAAAAACAGTAACTAAAAATTGTGAAATAATAAACTCCATAAAAAACTATGCCTTCCAGGGTGCCTGGGTATCTCAGTCAGTTAAGCACCGGCCTTCGGCTCAGGTCATGATTTCGGGGTCCTGGGATCCAGCCTTGCATTGGACTCCCTGCTCAGCGGCGAGCCTGCTTCTCCCTCTCCCTCTGCCCCTCCTCTCCATTTGTGCTCTCTCTCAAATAGATAAAATCTTAAAAACAAACAAAAAAAACTATGCCTTCGGGATGCCTGGGTGGCTCAGTCGTTAAGCGTCTGCCTTCGGCTCAGGTCATGATCCCAGGGTCTTGGGATCGAGCCCCGCATCGGGCTCCCTGCTTGGCAGGAAGCCTGCTTTTCTCCCTCTCCCACTCCCCCTGCTTGTGTTCCTGCTCTCGCTAACTCTCTCTCTGTCAAATAAATAAATAAAATCTTTAAAAAAACAAAACAAAACTATGCCTTCTAAATTTGAAAATTATTTCCTTAAGGCAGACATTTAACAGACTGAGCCACCCAGGCGCCACTTAAGCTAGTATTTTTAGAAGGTATATAACCTAAATAAGTAATTATGATAAGTTTTCACCACCTAAACTAATTTCTGAAATGATAATAACACCACAATTTCTTCATTGAAACATCAGATAACTTCCACATGTCCAATTTATGGACTTTCTGTCAATAAAATAGTACGCACACATATAAACCATGTTTTCAAAACAATTTTTAAGAACATAGGGGAATGGCAATGATTTATTTTTAAGGGAAAATAATTGGACACACAGCTCTTAAACAATATAGACCCAGTTTTACTTAAATACATACAAAAACCAGAAAAAGTCCAAGGACTGACATCCATATTACAAAGCCATTAAAAGCCAGGTTTTAAAGAATTAGTGTTATGAGAAAATGGTCATAATCCAATGTTCCATGGAAAAAAAGTAGGAAATAAAATATACACATGGCATGATCTCAATTTTGCTTTAATACAAATATATGGCTCACTGGAGATTTCATACACACACATGTGCACACGCACACACACAAAGAAAATAGACTACAAGGAAACAATCAGAATGTTCACAGTGCTCATTCTCTGTTCTGTGCATGGTGATATTATGGAAATCCCCCCCCTTTCCTATGTTTTTCAAATTTACAATAAGCAAATACCTGGACTATAATATAAAAAGAAAAGTTTTTCCCCGAAGAAATGCAATGTAATAAAGTATTCTGAAGACCTAATATGTGGGATAATGGAAATATCAACAGAAAATACGCTGGAAAGAAAATTTTTAAAAAATATTAAGTAAAAAATGTAAAATACTATTTCTGTAGTAAAAAAAAACGGCAAATATCACTTTTAAATACATGAAATTTCTAAGCACTGGTTTTTGTTTTTTTTTTAAGGCAGGTAGCATTCTCAAATACTTTACGGTGTAAACTCTAGTCAAGTTCTGGCAAACCAACAGCAATGCTTTTAGACAGCTCGTGGCGATGTTCTCTCGCCACGTGATGCAAAACTTTATCTGAGCAACAAAAGCAAAATGCAACGCTTCAATGTTTCAGGCTTAAACGCCCACTGCCCACTGTGCTGTAACTATCCTGTCAAAACACAGACAAAAGAGAGACAGGTGGCTGAGGACCAGGTGGCTGCCCGGGGCTCTCACCTGGTTCGGCTGCATGCAGCTCTCTGCAGTTCCTGCATTAACTGACCAGTACACTCCGGCTCTCGGCTGGCCGCCTGCAGCAAGGCTTTCCTAAACGTGTGCCGGCATTTCTTTTGACGAGATTCTGCCCGCTCCAGGCGGCAGAGGTGCTTATATTTCTGCTGAAAGTAAGTGCAAAGTTGGGTCACCCTGGAGCTCCTACTCTCCGTATCATCGTCATCTGACCTGGAAAGTGCACAAAGAGAAGGGAGAAACTGATTAAACGTCAGGCTCGGTTTAGAGATGGGGCAAAGTGGGTCAATGAGCTACTCGGATGCACAAGGGTCCACATTTGGGGCAGGTGAGCACATACTTCACAAAATTAGAGAATTCCAGTAGAGTTGAAAGTAAATACAATATTTCGACAATAAATAAGGCAGCAGACGCCACCCAGTGCTTTCAGATGCTTCACCTTCTCAGCATGTCAAGAGTTAGACAGAATGCATCAGGGTCTTCTAAATTTTAAGTGACTAGGGGTTCTCGGGAAGAAAACAGTTTCTTTACCTTTGCTTAACTAAAACGACTGAGTAAATGACATGGCAGTTATGAGGAAACACTAAGCATAATTTCATAAAAGATAGGTCATACCAGAAATAGAGCAGTGAATTCCAACAGTGCCTTATCAAAGACCTGCCCTTTTAGATGTACTGGTTTTCATTCCCCTTGCTAAGCACTTACAGAATGTTAATTGTAGGGGTCACAATCATTCTACAGTATTTTTTATTATTTTCTTTTAACACAGGAGATATCCTTTTTTTAAAAGGTTTTTAAAAAAATTTGAGAGAGAGAGCAGCAAGCGAGAGAGAACACGAGTGGGGGGGAAGGGCAGAGGGAGAGGGAGAAGCAGACTCCCCACTGAGCTCAATCCCAGGACTCCAGGATCATGACCTGAGCCAAACAAAGGCCGACACTTTAACAGACTTAGCCAGCCAGGAATCCCTACTTTGCAAATTTCTGGTCTAAGAAATAAGTCCTAAGAAACATGTTCTCTTCAGTATAGTAGCTACTACAAATATACCAATTGAAGGATCTTACTTCAATCTTTTCATTTATTTAACATTCAACATTTGCTATATGTCTATTACGCTGAGTCCTATAAAGGAGAAAATAATTTAAGCAGTTTGCAATGCAGTTTAGACAAGATAAACACATCCCCAAAGTTAACTCAAAAGATAATCGAATCAGTAACTAAAACCGTGGGGCAGGCTGACCAATGATTCAAGTATCTGACCTTCAATTAGAAAAATCTAGGAGTTTTTCACAATTTGAGATCCCAAGACCTACCCTAGATCTACTGAACCAGAATTTCCATGGAATGGGGCCCAGGAATCTTTATTCTGAATTGTTCCCTGAAGTCCCATAGCAGGTTTTCATTCGGGAGTTCTAGTCGAGCCGGTAGGTACTATAAATATCTTCAATGTGAGGCAGAGAACATCGAGAGGTCTAGATACGGCTAAAGTGCTATTAAAGTTCACTAGCAAGATTGCTGGATGAGAGGCTTCACAGAGGAGATGCCAACAGAACTGAACCGTGAAGAAAGGGTAGAATTTGAAGAGAAAAAAAAAGGGTACCTCGCCAGGATAAAGGAATACAAGTCAGGCTTCAGAGATGGACAGGACAGAGAACAGCAAGTACTAAGCAGCTCACTCTGGCGAAGATGTGGCATACACAGGGGAGTACAGTGGGTGAGGCCAACTTTCTAAACCTAAACACTAGATTCTACTGGCAGTGAAGAACCTCGTAGAGTCTGAAGAAAATAGGCAACAATAATAGAGCCGTGCATGAGAAAGGTTACACCGTCAGCAGGCAGAAATGGGAAGAGACAGGGCAGAGGGCAGGGAGGAAATTATTAAAACACTCCAGGTAACAGGTAACAAGAACCCACACCAGGACGGCGGCAGTGGGACTGCAGGAGAGGAAAGAGATCCTGCACGCATGAAAGGCAGACCTCCGTCAACTGGGAAGGGAGGGTGCGAGGGACAACAGTCGCGCGGCCCCTTCCCTCAGCGAAGCCCAGGGAAGAGGAACACGAGCAGATCTGGGGCAGGAAATAAATTCCATTTCAGACGTAAAGAATGTAAAGTACAGATGAGGTATCGAAGGCAGCAGTGGGAAAAACCGTTAGAAACGATAAGCAGGAGCACAGCGAGGGAAGAAATACAGATTCCATAGCCAACAACTAGCAACTGAGGGACAGGGGAGAGCCTGTAAGTAAAAGGCCACGGAGATAATAGAAAGAATGAGACCTGTAAGGCCCATTATCACAAAAGAATTAACTCAATTTGGTGACTGGATATGAAGGATAAGAAAGTCAATAATGACTCAATGACTTTGAACTTGCATAAGAGGAGAATGGAAGGGCTATTAATAGAAAAAAGAAAGAGAGGAGAAACTGCAGGTCTTAAAGGGAGAGTTAAGCTCAGGTAGATAATCACTTGCCAAAGCTATTATTTGAAAAGACTCTGTTATGGCGGGGAGGACAGACCAGATCAGCAGTTCTCAAGTTGACAATGAATGGACAGATGCACCTGGATGTTGAGGCATGTTTCATCATTAAAATAAAAATTTTCAAAGCTTGGGGCGCCTGGGTGGCTCAGTTGGTTAAGCGACTGCCTTCGGCTCAGGTCATGATCCTGGAGTCCCTGGATCGAGTCCCACATGGGGCTCCTTGCTCGGCAGGGAGTCTGCTTCTCCCTCTGACCCTCCTCCCTCTCCTGCTCTCTGTCTCTCATTCTCTCTGTCTCAAATAAATAAATAAAATCTTTAAAAAAAAAAAAAATTTTTTTTTCAAAGCTTATCAGAAGTTCCATGCTGACTTGTTGTGGGCCAGTGACAAGTAGTTTGCAGACCTGCACAGTTCCACGGGCCATCCCCAGCATGGTCCTTAACCAGAAAATCTCCAACATGCCTCCCACTTCCAAGATGTTCTAACCCTCGTGTTTCACACCTGGCTGTGGAGGAAGAGTGTCATTCCGGGCACAGAAAGGCCAGCAGCCATTATTTACCAGCAGAGACAGGCCTGCCACCTACTGCATTCTCAGTATGTGGCTTTCCTCACCTGTGAAATCAAAGAGCTGGCTCACCCAGCTCCCAAAGTTGTGAAGAGAATGAAAAGAAATGACCTATTTAAAATCACAATATAAGTACAGGTATTATTATTAGATAATAACCTATATCCATCTAATAACCTATATCCATTAACTAAAATTAAATCACTTATTAAATACACACATGCAAAAAACTCCTGGCCTAAACAGCTTTACCATGAGCTCTAGCAATAAAAAAAAAAAAAATAAATAATAATAATAATTCCAATCACACACAAAATATCCCAGATATCAGGAAAGAGGGGAATATTCTTTTTTTTTTTTTTAAGATTTTATTTACTTATTTTAGAGAGAGATCAAGCACACAAGCAGGAGGGGCAGAGGGAGAATCTCCAGCTGACTCCACACTGAGCATGGAACCCAATGCAGGGCTCAATCCCATGACGCCAAGATCATGACTTGAGCCGTAATCAAAAGTCTGACAATTAACCGACTGAGCCACCCAGGTGCCCCAAGGGAATATTCTTTTAATAAAGCTAACCTAAACTTGACACCAAAAACTTATTAACAAGGACAATAGGACAAAAGGAAAATCTTATTAATGATCTCAAAGGCAAAAAATATTAATAAGTTGAATCTAGCAGCATATAAAAAAGAAATACCCAATCTGGGTTAATTAATGTAGGAATGCAACAATTATTTTTCAATCTGATCTTACTAGACCTCTCTTCTGCAAAAAACCACTTTATTCTTCTTTTCCTTTCATCTTCAAACTTTCTATTTCCTTGCTTCCTTCTGTTATTTTTCTCATTTTCTTCTTTCTTCTTTCTCTTCCCAATCCTCACATCATGTATGAAAATTCTTCATTTTCAAAACTTCAACATCACTTAAATACTGAAGACACAAGTCTGTTCTCTAGCCCATACCTCACAATTATATTGCAGAGACAAGATATTTATTTGGCGTGCTCATCTACATATAAGTAACCCAGAAATGCTGGAATTAGGACAGAGTACTGGGGAGCAGAGAGGTGCACAGACAGAAGCACTATGAAGATCTACAGAGGGTTCCTCTCAGTTTTTCACTTGAGTACTGATCAGTGCAAGGGTGTGGAAGAATACCCAAAAAGAATCTGAAAAGAGAAGGCCAGAGAAGTTCCAGCAGCTCACACAGGGCAGGCGTAGTTTCTGGTCCCACCACCCAAGGGGAAAAACGTGCAATCTGCAGGGCACTGGGTAGACCACTCAGGAGCAGACTGCCTCACTAATGGGGGTAAATGAGCCCTCAATTAAAGGCTGCCATGGCCCCATTTCACGAAGTTTAAAAAGCAAGCCTCAAAAGCTGTTTCAAAGTAACATAACTATGTCCCCAGACAAAGATCTTAAAGGAAGACAAAATACCAGAATCAAGGTAAGTAAAATTAACCATGCCTGGCATCTAATAAAAAATTATCAGACATTCAAAGAAACAGGAAACTAGGACCCCTAAGAAGGAGAAAAATCAATCAATAGAAACAGATCTAGAAATGATACAGATGACATAATTAGTAAACCAAGAATCAAAGAACAGTTATTACAACCATATTTCACATTTTTGAGAAGGTAATCATGATCACGACAAGGAAAGACATGGACAATAATTTAGAAGACCCAAAACAAACTTCTAGAGATGAAAAATACAATGTCTAATATGAAAAATGGACTGAATGGGATTGATGGCTGGTTAGATGCCACAAAAGATTAATTAACCTGAAGACCGCAATAGGAACTTTCCAAACTGAAACACAGAGAGGAAAAAAGTGAATGGAACATCAATAAGCTGTGGAGTAATTTCAAGCAGCCTAAAATATGTGTAACTAAGTCTCTCAAATAGAAGGGGGAAGAAAAATAATTGAAGAAAACTAGGGTAAAATTTTTCTAAATTTCATGAAAATTATAAACTTACAGATTCAAAAAGTCAATGAACCCCAAGCACAAGAAACATAAAGAAAATGAACTACACAAATGGTTTAAAATTACTGATAAAGAGAAAAATCTTAACAGAGAAAAAAAAGACACATAATGTTGGACAGTTGACTTCTCATTGGAAATAATGCAAGACATGTGAGCAACATCCTTAAGTACTGAAAGAAAAACTGCCAACCTAGGATTTTATGCCAGCAAAAATATCTTTCAAAAATGAAGGCATACATCTTTGAAACATGGATGGACCTAAAGGGTATTATACTAAGGGAATTAAGTCAGAGAAGATAAATACCATATGATTTCACTTATATGTGGAATCTAAAAAAAACAAAACAAAGCAGAAACAGACCCATAAACACAGAGGACAAACTGGTGGTTGCCAGAGGGGATGGGGGTAGAGAGATGGGCAAAATGGGGTAAAGACAGAGGGAGGTGCAGACTTCTATTTATGCAGTAAGTCATGGGAATAAAAGGTACAGCATAGGGAATATAGTCAATGGTATGAGGGTTGTATGGTGACAGATGGGAGCTACACTTGTGGTGAACAGAGCATAACATATAGACTTGTCAAATCACTGTGTTATATACCTGAAACTAATGCAACATTGTGTGTTGATTATACTTCAATTAAAAAAAAAAAAAAAAAAGGCATGGGGTGCCTGGGTGGCTCAGTCAATTAAGCATCCAACCCTTGATTTTAGCTCAGGTCATAATCTCTCAGGGTTGTGAGATCGAGTCTCCACGCCAGGCTCCCTCTCCCTCTGCACTCCTCATCCCCCCCAAGCCAAAAAGGCATAGTCAATTATACCTCGATAAAATTTTTCAGACATAAAAGCTAAAAGAATTCATCACCAGAAGGGTGGCACTACAAGAAATGTTAAAGTGAACCATTCATACAGAAAGAAAATAACATCAGATGGAAATATGGAACTATTCAAAGAAAAAAAAACCTAGAAATTACGTGGGTAAATACAAAGGATTATTTTTCTTTTAAATCGTCTTAAAAGATAACTGCTTGAACAATAGCAATGTATTACAGGGATTATAACATACGTAGAGGGAAATGTATAGCATCAAGTGTCTATGTCAGAAAACAAGGAAGATCCCAGGTTTAAGCTATCACCTTAAAAACTTGAAGACAAACAAATGTATCCAAAACAAAGAAGGAAAGAATAGAAGAACATAATAGAAGGAAATTACAGAGATAAGAACAGAAAGCAATGAAATAAAGCTGAAAGAGAATCAATGAAACTAAAAGCTTGTTCTTTAAAAAGACCAATGAAAAAGAACAGAAAATGAACAGAGACATACACATACATGCCAAGGGTTCCAATGCAAGATCAAGTGTTTTCAATAGTGTTGGTTAAATAGAAGATCCACGCGGAAAAAAATGATCCTTAGCACTGCACCTCACATTATATACAAATTATACAAAAATAAATTTCCACAAAGACTGTCAGGAAAACAATAAGGCTTCTAGAAAAGAGTATTAGAGAACAGCTTCATGACTGTGAAGCTGTGGGGTAAGTAATGATTTCTTAAATGGGTCACAAATACATTACCCATAAAGAAAAAGACCAATAAACTGTACTCATTAAAATTAAGAACTGGGGGGCGCCTGGGTGGCTCAGTTGTTAAGTGTCTGCTTTGGGCTCAGGTCATGATCCCAGGGTCCTGGGATCGAGCCCCACATCGGGCTCTCTGCTCAGCGGGAAGCCTGCTTCTCCCTCTCCCACTCCCCCTGCTTGTGTTCCTGCTCTTGCTATCTCTCTCTGTCAAGTGAATAAATAAAATCTTAAAAAAAAAAAAATACATACATACATACAATAAAAGTAAGAACTGGGGGGTGCCTAGATGGCTCAGTTGGTTAAGCTTCTGACTCCTGATTTTGGTTCAGGTCATGATCTCATGGGTTATGGGATGGAGCCCTGCATCAGGCTCAAAGTGGAATCTGCTCTAAGATTCTCTCCCCCTGTCCCTGCCCCCACTCACTCTCATGCGCTCTCTCTCTCTAAAAATAAATAGGGGCGCCTGGGTGGCTCAATCGCTAAGCGTCTGCCTTCGGCTCAGGTCATGATCTCGGGGTCCTGGGATCGAGCCCCGCATCGGGCTCCCTGCTCAGCAGGAAGCCTTCTCCCTCTCTCACTCCCCCTGCTTGTGTTCCCTCTCTCGCTGTGTCTCTGTCAGATAAATAAAATCTGTATAAATAAAATAAAAATAAATAAATCTGGGTTCCTGAGTGGCTCAGTTGGTTAAGTGTCTGCCTTCGGCTCAGGTCATGATCCCAGGGGCCTGGGATTGAGTCTTGCATTGGGCTCCCTGGTCAGCCAGGAGCCTGCTTCTCCCTCTGCCTCTGTCCCTCCCCAGTGCTCATGCTTGCGCATGCGCTCTCTCTCTCCTCTCAAATAAATAAAATCTAAAAAAAAATAAAAAATAAAAATAAATAAATCTTTAATAAAATCAAGAAATGTTCTCTATCAAAGACACAATTAGGAATATGAAAAGGGGTGCGCCTGGGTGGCTCAGTCGTTAGGTGTCTGCCTTTGGCTCAGGTCATGATCCCAGGGTCCTGGGATCAAGCACCCCATCGGGCTCCCTGCTCCTCGGGAAGCCTGCTTCTCCCTCTCCCGCTCCCCCTGCTTGTGTTCCCTCTCTCGCTATGTCTCTGTCAAGTGAATAAATAAAATCTTAAAAAAAAAAAAAAAGGGAATATGAAAAGGTAAGCAGTTACTAGGAGTAATTACTGTTAATAATACATTTAAGGGACACCTGGGTGACTCAGTCGGTTGGGCATCTGCCTTTGGCTCAGGTCGTGGTCCCGGGGTCCTGGGATCAAGCCCTGCATCTGGCTCCCTGCTCCATGGGGAGCCTGCTTTTCCCTCTGCCTCTCTCTCATGAATAAATAAAATCTTAAAAAAAAGTAATAATACATTTAAGAAACCAACTTATTTCTGCTCTTGAGATATAAGTAGGAGCCTGCGAGATCTCCTTCAGCACATGCATATACAGCTAAACTAAGTAACCAAGAAATCTTTCCCAAAACAAGGCCAGGGGTACCTCTGTGGCTCAGTCGGTAGAACATGTGACTCTCTATTTGAGTTGTGAATTCAAGTCCCTTGCAGGGCATAAAGCTTACTTAAAAAAAAAAAAAAAAAAGGCCAAACTTTCTCCCTAAAATTTCTTCAAGCATAATCCTGGTTTAGCAAGAAAACTCATGGAAAGCAGGTTTGGGGGGAAGCAGGTGGACGGGCAGCACAGAATGATGATCAGGCTACTATCAGTTTTTCTTCCAAAAGAATCTGAGAATTCCAACAGGAATCTTCACTATCATTTATCATTCATTGCCCAGGTACCAGGTATTGTGCTTAAGCATTTACTTATGCTACCTCATTTATAGCAATTTGTAAAATTAACTCAAAATATCCCAAATCAAGTTAAGCTGACATGAACATCCACCCGAGGAAGCATGACTGATACTATCTGTAACTGTCAGAGTATTAAGTTCAACTGTACTTTATCTGAAAAAAAGAATATGCTAATGGTAAGGAAGCAGTCTTGAATGATATATAAAATGGAACCTTGGAGAGAGAAGAAAACTACAGCATTCTCCAATCCTATCTAGGAGATAGGGGAGGCCAGGACAACTGGCCATTAATAAATCCAACTAACTCTCCTTCCAGGCCCAAATAAGCTCCCCATGTAGTTTTGCTTAGTGAACATTTGTACTATTTAATGATTATTTCTCACTTTAAACTGGCATTTTGGTTTATACATTAGACTCTAGAGAATCAGTTCCCTGAGCCTAATCACCTCTGGGTGTACTAACAAATCATATTTTAAGCCTATAAACCAGAAAACCAGGTTCTAGAGAATATATGTCCATACAACGATACTGTGAGAGTCTAGGAGTCGGCCTGGGGCAGATAGCTGGTCTCCCCTCTATCTTGTCAAACATCTATTCAAACCACAATACTTAAAAAAAAGAAAAAAATTAGCTGAGTCTGAGAGCCATCTTTTGGCTCCACAGACAGGGATCTATCTCGGAATGGCCCCACTGTACTAAGTGAATCCCTAAAGCAGTCCCCTGAAACAGAAAGAGCTTTCTCACTGTCCTGTGCATTAATCAATCTACAGCTTTCTGAACGCAGATACCAAGAACCTCTAATGAGATTATCTTGAAAACCATTTTAGCACATTAGAAATACTCGGTGCTTAAGGAAGATTAAAGAATGGATCAATCTTGTAGAAGACAGAGCTGAAATAAACTGTTCCCAGCTACTGCAGGGATCAGGCCAAAGAGGATCCAGAGAAGTCAGGCAGCGGAACTCTGAGAAACCCTGGGACCTCAGGCCAGTTCCTTAGCTTGCCTGGGCCTTGGTCTCCTCTTCTGTAAAATGAGGGGATGGGACTAGGTAATCTGGAAGGTTCCTTTTCATCTTAAATTCCATTCCAATTGGTTCCTTCAGTGATAAATGGGAAAGGTACAGAAACAAATTTACCAAGAAAACTGAAAAGTAGCTTTATATAGTACATTTCTTCCCAAGTGGAATCTCTTTTACCTCCATTACAATAAAACTAGATCCAATGAGATAAAAGAACATTAGCATATAGAGTGAAACATCAGGTCACTACAGGGGTAACTGAAGAATGAAAACAAAAAGGAAGACTTACGTGTGTCTTTCGTATCTGAGGGTTTCTCGGATGGACCATGCCACCTGGTATGGCGAGGCCTGCTCTGAGTCCTCTAGTTCCTCCCCGCTCTCTTCGGACCAGTCCAAACCTGGGACATGTGAGAAGATATTACAAGTTAAAAAAAAATGTTTTATTTAAAATTTAGAAAAAAAGCTACCAAAAATGCATAACCCAAAACTTATAGCACATACTATCATCACTGTATGAATAAATGCCTCTCTATTCTGACAAAAATATTAATAATGACGTATGACATACACTCAGGTTTAAAATAATGACACTGTAACAAAAAAAAGCTATATTCCAAGGATGAACTTCTTCGTCAGACTCTTCACAAATGGAGCAGAAACATAAGCAGAGATTCCAGTCCTTCCCCCCACCAAAACACCATACATTAAACATCATACATAATGTCAGAAAAACATAAAACAAGGCTAATGTATGTTCAGGTAAGAAAGAAGTCAAAATGTACTGGTGGATTCACTCTACACTTCCACAAAGAAGGGCCCTAGGATAAACTGTCAAAGGCAGACACTTCATCCCCTTTCCCAACCCCTCTGGAGGAAAAGGACTCCATCCACTAGGCAGAGCCCTGCCCTGGCTCTTACCCTCTGCAGGAAGAGGAAAGGGTAAGAGGGCAATACTCTATTTCTAATGTGGCTTGGGCTTTCTTTTAATTCTTTTAAACAACAGCTGCCACATTCTGTGGCATTCTGAAAAACAAGTTTAGAGAGGACAATAGAGAAATACAGGATGAACAATGCTTACTTATTTTGTTAAATGCTACTAATTTTAATGATTGGATAATTATTAGCTTCCAACATAAAGGTTTTACCTTTTTAGAAGTTTTGCATCTTGAAAAGGTCTTGATAAATACTGATGTTGCACAGTCTAACGTGCATAACTTTAAATATACTCATACCGCTATGAGACTTGAATTAGATACCTTGATAACTAGTATTCGGTCTTCCTTCTTGAGACCCTCAAAAATCAGAAGACCACCTTCATTAGACAGTTATGTTAGAAAGGACCTCACAGGTTGCTTCTATAATTTAAGTAAGTTTACAAGTGCCAAATAGGGAAATTAAGAAAAGGTTAACCGAAATGCAAATTATAAATGCTTAAAATTAAGTAACACATTACCACTGGCATAAAGAAACCTCAAATTTAGTTCCAAGATGACTATCCAAATGTTAGGTCACCTTAAAAAGTAAGTTACTTAAAAAAAAAAGTTAAAATAATTAGTGATTAAAAAAAAGTAAAAAACAAGTAATCACAATAGCATTAGCTTCAGGATAGGATACTGAAAGGCGAGGTCTTTCAAACACAAAGTGACACGTATGGTATCTTTTAAAATGAGGACATAAATTATCTTTTATTGTTTTTGTATAATTCATAATAATTTCTACTAAGTCACCTATATCTTCTCTGAAAAAGTCAAGATCTAAGTTGTAAAAACTAAGATGGAAGTGTTTCTCTTGTGAAATTAACTGTCCAATAAAGCAAACCTTTGATCTTGGCTTTATTATCACTAGTTTTAATATAACTAACTGAGATAACCAGGCCAGACGAGACTGTAAAGGCTGATTACAAGATCGCATTTTTCTTAAAGTATACTTTGGCTGACATGAATGCAGACTATACTTGGTCATAACAGTGCACTACAATTTCTGGCTTCTCCAAAGTAACCTTTGTTTTGAAACCTAGGACCCTAATATGCTTGAATTTAAAGAAATGAAATAAATAAAATAAATAAAAATAAAAGGGAGGGGGGTGCATGGGTCGTTTAGTTGGTTAAGCGTCTGCCTTCGACTCAGGTCATGATCCCAGGGTCCTGGGATGGAGCCCTGCATGGGGCACCCTGCTCAGCGGGGAGCCTGCTTCTCCCTCTCCCTCTAACCTTGCGCCCTGCTTGTGCTCTTACTCACTCTCTCCCTCTCTCTCAAATGAATAAATAAAAAATCGTTAAAAAAAAAAGACAATACTTTTTCTGTAAATTTTCATTCTGTTCAAAATGACAAAAAACCAGCCTCTAACACAACATAGTTTGTTTCAAAAGCTAAAAAAATTACCAGCATCCATAAATACATAAAAGTATAAATAAATATTTAGTAGATAACACAGGTACATTGTGGAGTAAGAGGCAAACATTTGGGAAGAAATAAAGTTAGATTTTGCCTCAAAACTAATTCCTAATGAATTCCAAATAGAGGACTACAATGTAAATAAATCAAACAATAAAAGGACCGAAAGAAAATATGGGTGAATATATTACATACTCTTGGAGCCCAAACAAGTAAGAAACAAAATAAAACAAAACAAAGAGTCTGATTCAAAAGGAAAAAAATTCTAAAAAAATAGAACACATCAACAATTTTAACTCCTAAATTCCAAAATAATTATATCATAGATATTTAAAAGCAAATAACAAATGGGAAGAGAGGCTTTGCAACAAACATGAAATATGTATAAAAGATCATACCAAATCAATAAAAAAAAGAAGCCCTTCAACAAAAATGAGTGAAAAAACTCAAAACGTAAAATAAACAAGAAATACAAATGTCCAAAAAGCATATGAACAAATACTCAAAGCTACAACTACTATCTCAAAACAGCAGTTCTCACTTAAAGAATGGTCCATAGATTCCCCAGGGGTCCCTGAAACCCTCCTTAGGGAGTTCCTTAGGTCAACACTATCTTCAAAATAAGAAGACATTATCTGCTTTTTTCACCGTGTTGGCATTTGCACTGATGATAAAAAACAAAAACAAAAAACATGTAGGTCAATCTGCTGGCGCCTCAGCATGAATCAGGGTGGTGGGACCAAACTATACGAGCAGTCTTTCTGTGTTTCACACCACGATGTGTAGTAAAATAAATAAATACATAAATAAATAAATAACAGTTTTAAGAATATCCTTGGGGCGCCTGGGTGGCTCAGTCGGTTAAGCGTCTGCCTTCAGCTCGGGTCCGATCCCAGCGTCCTGGGATCGAGTCCCGCTCTTCGGTGGGGAGTCTGCTTCTCCCTCTGCCTGCTGCTCCCCTGCTTGTACGCACACACTCCTTCCCTCTCTCGGACAAATAAATAAAATCTTAAAAAAAAAGAGTATCTGTGACAAAGCTCGGTATAGGTATATTAAAGACTGTTTATTAAATCTTAGTTCTTGACTGCGCGTCTTTACACCAGTGTCTGTGACTCCATGTGGAGTCAGAAAGCCCCTGTGCGGCACACCGCAAACATAGGGTGGTTGTCTTGAGGAAAAGCCCTTGCAGCACCTGGTGTAACTGTGACCTCAACGAGCTGCTTTTTTTCCATTCGACACCATTTTTATTTGAAGGAGTGACCAACAAACTATGGTTACTAAGACCTGGATATCTGACAGTCATTTTTTCTAAAATGAACACAGTGAAACTGTCACCTCAAGGAAAACAATGGACAGGACTTGTTGCCAACAATGAAATTCAGATTTTCACTTGAAAGCTTGATTTTGGTTTTTTGTGAAAACTTGGAAGTCATCACTGAGTCTATGACAACTTTCTAACAGACTATTCTGACGAGATTGGTGGTAATATTAAAGAATGTGATCTTGTTTTGTTTTTAAGTAGGTTACACCCCCTAGTGTGGAGCCCAACGCGGGGCTTGAGCTCACGACCCTGGGATCAAGACCTAAGCTGAGATCAAGAGTTGGATGTTTAACTGATTGAGCCACCCAGGCATCCCACGAGAGTATGATTTTTAAATTTTGTATAATGAAATATGTCCACATTTGGGATATATGTTTAACTAGGTAAACCAGTATTTTCTAAATGACCAATATATGATGTTACAAAATCACGCATGGGTAAAAAGATCCCTTCAAAGTGCAAAGCAGGGCGCCTGGGTGGCTCAGTCATTAAGTGTCTGGCTTCGGCTCAGGTCATGATCCCAGGGTCCTGGGATCGAGCCCCGCATCGGGCTCCCTGCTCAGCGGGAAGCCTGCTTCTCCCTCTCCCACTCCCCCGCTTGTGTTCCCTCTCTCGCTGTCTCTTTCTCTCTGTCAAATAAATAAATAAAATCTTAAAAAACAAAGTGCAAAGCAGATCAATGGATTTTAATGTAATGATTTGCAAAATTCCTTGATATGGTTTCAGATTTCACACTGCAACTAATCTTTAAGAAACTACCATTTGTCAATTTTCGGTATAGGGTCAAATAAGAATATCCACAATTATTTTTAAAAAGCTAGTAAAATATTCTTCCCTTTTCCAACTCCAAACGTGTAAGCCATATTTTCACATACTAATCAAAACCACATATGATGACAGCAGACAGGAGAATCTAACTGTCTTCCAGTAAACCACACATTAAGATTTACAAAACAATGTAAAATAATGCTGCTCTTCACATTATATTTCTTTTCTTTCGGGAAAACATAGCTATTTCATAAAAAGAATATGTTAACATGTGGTGTTATCTTTAAAAATGCATTAACATTTTAAAAATTTCTCAGTTTTAACTTCTAATTCAGTAAATATCAACAAATGTGACTCACATACATAAAGGCTCTACAGTGTCCTCAACCATTTTTAGATGTAAAGGGATTCTAAGGGCTAAAATTTGAGAAACACTTATCTAGAGTTATGCAAATTAAAGCAAATTTTCTATCAAATTTGCAAAGGCACAATAATAACCAATATCCAGTACTGTAAAGATAGAGAGAAACTCATCTCATACCCTGCTGAAAGAAGGGTAATGTGACAAAATAGTTCTGAAGGAAAATTTGACAACATGTATCAAAAAGCTTTTAAAAAAATGCAAAAGCTTGGAATCAGCAATTCTGCTTCTAGGAATCTGTCTGAAGGACAAATTAGAGATGTGACAGTAATTATTTTAGTATGAGGTTATACAGCTACACTTTAGAATAATATAAGCTGGAAACAACCTAAATTAGAGAAAGAATTCAGCTGTGACAAATTATATTGTATATGAAAAATTACTACCTTCATAGTACATTGTGAAAAATTTTAAAACAGGTTATAAAACTGTATGTACAGCAGGAACCCAATTTTACAGATATGAAATATACCAAGGCATTAACAAATGGGTATTAATAAGGTTTGGGTGTTTTATTTTTTTTTTATATATACCTTTTCTTTAAGTTTTATTAGTTGTTTTAATTACCAAAAGTCATACATGGCTTAGTAACAGGTGAAACAATATAAAACTCTAATAAAGAAGAGATGCCATTCCCATCTCCGTAAAAACACATCCTATCCAATTCTGTCCTCCCCTTGACAGTCAGTGTTAACAGCCTGGTAGTGTATAACCATTCACACGTTAAAGACCCATGCTTACACCCCAATAGGCAAACATCTATCTGTCCATATGCTTAATCAACAGACACACTGATGTCCCTTGTTTATTTATTTTTACAAAAATGGGGTAATACAATACCCCTGGATTTTTTTCTACTTGCTAATATAAAATAGGCACATCTACTTATAAAAGTTGTTTGAGGATTTTTAATACTGCAAGCAACGCTGCAATAAACATCCTTGAACACATATCCTAACATTCTGATATTTTTTTCACCCATAGGAATAGAGTCCCACAAGTGAGTTTGCTGGCTATATATACACTCTTAATTGGTAAATACTGCCACATTATTCACCAGCAATGTAGAAGGCTCATCAACACTGGATAGAATTTTTGCCAATCTGATAGAAATTGTTATTTTAATTTGCATTTCCACACCTGCTATGGGGACTGAGGTTCATTGGTTTACTAACCATTTATATTTCTTCTTCCTCTATTCCTCTTTTCCTATTTTTCTATTACTATCACATCATGCAAATGATTTTTCCTAAAGTTAGAATCACAGCTCACACCATATTTAAGACTATATTCCAAATGAATTGAAGGTTTAAATAATCAAACACAGAACAATCAAATTATCAATAAGAATATATAAAATACCTGTATGAACTTGGGATCAGAGAGATTTTCTTGAGCAAGAAAATTCAGAAGCAATAAAGGAAAGACATTTCACTACATTAAAGTTTTACCTGTAGTTTTTCACTTTTAAATCATGAACAGGCATCGCTTTGGGAATTTTTTTTTTACAAGGTTTTTTGTTTGTTTGTTTTTTAACTGTCAGCAGATACTAACAATGCTATCATTATTCCAAAGTCCTACGATAAGCCATGTCGAAAACTTCATCAGACACAGGTGCTGAGCTCACAGGGGCAGAGAACCCAACACAACTGCCTTTCGATTGCTGTCGCTACCACAAACTAGAAACTGTGACTGCCATTCCAAATTTGCCGACTCCTACTTCCATATCCTGTCCGCCAAGGATCATCCCCTCCACTAGCCTATTTCCTTGACGACGGCCCCCCTAAACACAGTCTTGCACTGGACTCCCCGGGTCCCAGGGCCCCGCCACCCGCATCACAGACGCGGTGGGTCTGAACACTGAGCCTCCCCTGCAAGCGCACGCTGTGTTACAGTCCGGGAAACGAGAGAACTCACCTAAATGGGGAAAGAGATCAGTGTCCAACTGATGTTTCTGGGTGCACAGTTTCACCAGTCTGTGCAGGCGACTTATGCAGGAGAAGTGTGGAGAGAAGGCTGTGGCTTTCATGAGGACCCGGTCAGTCCGGGGCGGGTCCGCGGCGGGAGCCCTACTGGATGGCCGGAGGGGCAGCGGCCTCGCTTGTGCTACAGTGTGTGTGGTGGGGGCCACTCCCTGCATTGGTAGGCTGGTGCTCGGAGGTGGAGGGGACTTGCAGACTACACCCTGCGGTGGCGGTGGCGCTGGAGGTTTCAAGGACGAGGCTAAAGGTGACAGGTGGGAGAGCTGCGGCGGGGCCTGCTGCTGTGAAGGCGCAGGAGGGGGACTAAAGTGCTCTTGTCGGACTTTTAAAATCTCCGTCTCTCTCTGGCGCTGCCGATTCTGGGCCAACTTGCTCTGCAACTTCTTTCTCACAGTTGCCCCTTTCTTTAGGTCATCATCTTCCTCGTTGAAAGCGAATGGGTCTTCCAACTCGGTTTCCAGATAGTGGAGAGGGACCCTAGCCCCGGGTGGAGAGAGGGACATTCCATCCAGCCCGTTGGGCATCTTCAAGGCCAACGGGGGCACCGTCAGGCTAAAGGCCATGGTATCCATCTGGTGCCTGACCTTCACCTCATCTATAGGATCATTCTTTTTCTTCCTCTCTTTTTTCGGGATAAAGCCAAGTACCTGCAAGTGGCTGTTGCAGTACCTTTAAAAAACACACACGGGGAAATGTTTATGATATACACTAAGAGAAGCTGAATATAAAACTACATAGTATAAAATGTGAATCCTACCTAATATATTATAATGCATGACTATAGGAACTATTGGCATTCATGGATTTAACATAAACAACTTCTACTACTCTCAAGCACGCCTCAAAGTCTGCAATTTTCCTAAAGCAAATAGGTGAGTTGTGTGTGTGCAGAGGCTGCCAGACAGCAGCGAGTCATTCCAACACTGAGTGGCCCCGGATGACCATCCAGCTATTGCTTCTCACTCTGCATTGTTATTTTGTATTCACAGCACAAAAAGAACTCATCAAGTCTAAAGGATCTCTAAAAACTCTGTTATGGAGAGGAAAGAAAATCCTGTCTATATATCTATATATATTCCAATGTCATTCGAGTATTTGTAGATCCACAAAGATCTTATGACATAATCCCTAAAAATACCAAGTGCCTACAGTGTATTCTACACACACACATACACACACAGATTGAGAGAGAGAAATAAAGAATACAGAGGGAAGGAGAAAGTAAAATAATAAAACTAGTTAGAGGGATTATAGATGAAATGAGTTCCTCAACAGCCAGAGAAGTATGTTTATACCTGCAGTAGGTACTAAAATAATGCCCTTTATACAGATGAGGAAGCTAAAGTTGATAAAAATTAAATAACTTGCCCCAACCCCCCGCTCTGGAAACAGAGCTGAGACTCAAACGAAAAATCTAAGCTCAGGAGACTCTCCATAGTCTTCAGCAATGAGGTTACTTTTGTAATGTAAATGGTATTTTAAAAATACTAAAAAGGACAGAATCCTTCTACTCAGTAAGAAAGAAGAATGCATGTTGTTCCCATAAACCACACTGAAAACCTAGAGGCGTTTAACTGGTAGTAAAGTAGTGTTTCCCAGACTGGGATTCCTCATGCAGCTCAGAAGATTAGCAAGTACGCCACAAAAAGAGTATTCCATGCTTAAATAAGTTTGAAAAATGCTGGCTTCAACAGAATTAGACAACGATTTTGTTGTCTGTTTCTGCTGAACAACTTCTCAAAGCATTTTGTATGAAAACGTGCATTGCGCTTCAAGGTGGCAATGTACCCATCTGGCAGGGTTTCCCAAACTTACTTGAAAAGGGCATCTATTTTTATTGTAGTGCACTTGTGCTATCTCCACAGAACACAGTTTGGGTAAAAATGGCAATAAAGTAATTAATGTCAATCTTGAAACTCACTGGGCCGCATCAGACAAATTTTTAAATAACTGTTAAAAATACAGATTCACCAAATCATCAAGAGACATGGTTTTGTTGGCTTGTCTTAGAAATAAATCTCTCAGAGACACGCCTCCATTTTAATAGGACTATTAAGAAAAAGCTTTCCGGACAGTAAAAAGAATCTACACCGTGTGTGTGTGTGTGTGTGCACGCACACTCGCACATACACACCTAGCAGGTTTAGGTTGGGTCTCACATAGACCTTAAACAGAATAGATTTATAAAGCTGTGGCCAAAAAGGAAAAAGTTTCAGGGATAACTGCGTGATTTTTGTTACTGTTTTCAAGTCATTTTTAAATTAACAAAAGGATTAGTGGGGGAGAAATGAGGTGGGATAGTTTTTAAATTTGGAAATGAAATTTTTCTGCTCATTACACATGGGCAGCCTGAACAGGTAACTGAGCCTGCTCTGTGCCACCTCACGTAACAGGGCAGAGGCTAATCTGCACGTCCAGCCCTCCTTCAACCTCACCCTCAACTCCTGCTCCAGCTACTCTGTCAGCACTACCACAGAGTCTGAACTTGTAAAACACTTCCTCTTCTAGAAGGAAAGAATTTTCATAGCTAGAATTACAACAGCTTACTTCGTTATGATCAGTGTTTAAAAGAAGTATGCAAATATGAATTGAATAACTATATAGGGGAGTGACTGCTAATGGGTTCTTTTGAAGGGACGAAAATGTTGTAAATTAAACTGTGATGAAAGTTGTACAACCCTGTGAATATACTAAAAAATACAGAATTGTACATTTCAAATGAGTGAATTGTATCAGATGTGAATTATGTCTTAATTAAGCTATCTAGGAAAATGGTAAACATATAGGAAACAAAAAACTTGACAAATCACTACTAAAAAATATATAAAATTAGAGTAAACAAATTTAAATTATATAAAATAACCAATTTAATAAAACCACTTACCTCTGAGAAACCAAGGCTACAGTAATAAGCCTTATTAGCCTCCCATTGCACAAGTACATTAGAAAATGAACTTTACTTTTTAATTATACCAGTACTCCTACTGAACATAACATTACTCTATTTCAAAGAGGTAGAATCCCTTAAGTTAGCATTTTTAATACATACCAGAAGTTAGACACCAGAAACTAAGAAGCTTCCTTTAGCTGACCACCAATCAGATAATTTTATCAATTAAAAGTCACTGGGAGTTTGTTTTCTATAATAATACATAAAACCATCTCAAATTCCTAAGTGTCCAAAGAACAACTGCATTAATAATGAAAGCTTATTTTCAAAAGAATATCAATCTTTTCTACATTAGGTCATATAATGTAGTTATTAACGATCAATATTTATATACACGTTAGACTTTATATCAATTCAACCTGGATTTCTTGAGGCAACATAAGAATATTACCTCCTACTGATGTCTACTTTATCTCCAAGCAACCCTACAAATAATAAAAATATTAATACCATTTGCATTGGTTTGAACCAATTTGAAAAGATTTATGTAACTTAGTACTTAAGCTTAGTTTCTTTTGATACAGCCACACAAGTCCTTCCCCTTCTTTTCTTGTTCTAAAAAGAGGAAACTACTTTGAATATCAAGGTGAAGACCTATGATTCAGAGAATTAATATTTTGGAGAAATTCAGAGCAACTCTTGTTTTACTTCTCGCTGCTAGCTATTAAGATAGTACTTGCTTCCGCTGAAATGGAAAAAAAAAAAAAAATCCAATGTGGACAATTGCAAATGTGGTAAACTGAATTTAAGACAAAATTACAGGGGTGCCTGGCTGGCTCAGATGGAGGAGCCTGTGACTGTTGATCTCAGGGTCATGAATTTGAGCTCCATGTTGGGTGTAGAGATTACTTAAATAAACCTTAAGGCGCCTGGGTGGCTCAGATGGTTAAGCGTCTGCCTTCAGCTCAGGTCGTGATCCCAGGGTCCGGAGATCGAGCCCCACATCTGGCTCCTGGCTCAGGAGGGAGCCAGCTTCTCCCTCTCCCTCTGCCTCTCCCCCTGCTCATGCTCTCTTCTCTCTCTCTCTGTATCTCTGTGTCTCGAATGAATAAATAAAATCTTTAAAAATAAAATAAACTTCAAAAAAAAAAAAAGGGACAAAATTATAGATGTGTTTATAGTGGAGCTTGGAGTAAAAACTGAATCCAAGTTCATCAATTCTTCAAGTTAAAAAAGGCCAGGGGTAAGAAACGGGCATGGTAAGTCTGCTAGAAGCTGGACAGCTTATGTTTAGCCAGGTACAGTGGTCCCTTTCTCAACTGAGATTAAAATGTTATTCCTTGCCTCACTGAGCAGCTGCTTCTAACTTTCAGGTATTGTAATGTGAAGCTTTAAGTGCGCATTAGAAATTCCAAGGGAGTATTCCCAAATCACCACATGATGCTATATTCATTTTGGTGGGAGCTCTATCAACACAAATTATTTATTTCACCATAGAAGTGTAAAAATTGCTCACCATGACATATACAAAACATGACTTCTTTTCAACCCATTTATGCAGGTGACATCTGTTTATGCATAGAAACAAGGATGAAGGCTGTATATACATATTTTAAAGATTAAAGTAAAAAGTTCACATTCTCTACCTAAAGTTAACAGTATTTGAAACTTTTGGGGAATAATTACACATCTCTCTGTAATATCCGACAATGCCCACACGGTTTCTGGAGAACCGAAGAAAAAGGAATGAAAAAGAGATTATATATGAAATAGTCTGAATTTTCCTGAGACTATGAAAGATGAATAACTATCCTAAGACTCTTTCTCTAAAAACATCTCCATGTTTTTTAATTCAGCCAAGTAAAAATTCATAATCCTAGTGATAAAGCCTACTCTTACTATAAACATACCGTTTCTCAATTATGTTAAACATACTTTACATGGAACTCTTTTAACCAAAAGAGGCAAGATTACAGAACAATGCCAAACACTGCTTAGAAGTCTGAAAGTACATCTTCTCAATAATTCAAGTAATCATTCTTTTGAATAATTCTTTTTCAATAAGTACATACCCTTTGCTACCTTTCCAGCACAGATTAAAAAATTCCAAAATTACCATTAATTACAACACCTAAATAGTTCCTATAATTTCTGTTGTTTAAGCAGATTTCTATCATAATCAGGAACTACTTTACAAAAGACTGCAAACCAAACACAAGCAACGATTTTGAGGAAAAATTTCTTTTAAAGTCTATTAAACCAATTAAAAAAAAAAAAACCAAACACACTCAAACATACTTTTCAAATAATTCCCCACTCCTCCATTTTCTAAAAACTGCCAATTCTTGTCTTTAGAAGCATTCCAAGGTTTACTTAGATTATCCCAGAACTCAATGCTTAAATTCACATTTAAAAAAAGAAAAAAAGAAAATTCCAGGCCTACGAATGAAATCAAAGATGGATTTCCATCATTAGCTCTTACCGACGATCCTCTGATTTGGGGATGGGGTTGGTGCAGCGTTGGCTGTTATACTTGGCCACATATTCACATTGCTTGAAGGGGGCAGTCTTGTCCTCCAGAACGTGTCTGATACAGAAAGCGTACCCGTTGAGTCGCCGCTGCTTGCACAGTTTGGGGCTATATGAGCACAAGGGCTTATTGTCAACCTCAGAGAAGTGTATATGTTTCCCTTCATACATCACGTGACTCTATTCCTTGTGAACATCAGCTAAAAGACCACCACAAAAAAAGAAACCCAAATGATAAATCAGAGAGTATAAGGCAGATTTAAGTTGAGAATTTCACTGAGGGACTTCTGGCCCCACAGCCATACCTGATTTTAAATCTTCTGCACCATTGCAATGTTAAGAGAACCCCAAGGATACCACAGTTTGGAATGCTGCAGAATCAAGATGAAGCAGATTGTCTACAAAAATATCAAAAGGCCTAGTTAACAAATAGAAACGAGAAAAGCTTGCTTACCTGGGAAGTCAAATACTAGGATATCACCCTTCCTAACAGGATGGATTCTCCTTTGTAATCCATCATCCCAATATGAAATTAAAATAGTAAGAGACATTATAAAATACCAAGTTACCTCCCCCCTCCAAATTGAACCAAGTAATTTTTACTCTGGGAAGGTTCTTTCAAGTACCTCAAACCAGCGGGGCTCTTTCAAACAAATTAAGGCGGCAGGTCTTTGTATTTCATTACTGGTGGTTGAATGCTACATCTATTTTCAGAATGCAAATCTCTTCACAATACCAATGGAATGAACCTGTAGACTTAAAACGTCCCTCAGAAATTTGACATATTGATATGTTGACAAAATATTTGGCCATTTACAACAAATGTTTCTATGAAATACAAAAAGGGGGGGCAAATTCCTGTTTTAGAAGTCATTTTCCCCGGAATTATTTCCCCACATTTATCCCATCCAAAATGTAAACTTCTTGAGCCCAAAGAGTAGTCACCTAACTACACTTCCACCATCCAGGGCATGGCTATATACCACATGCTGCAGCCAATTACAGTAAATACGGTAAGAATCAGGACTTAAATGTTTGGAGTTTTAGTAACAAATGGAAGGAAGAAACCACGTAACACCCACTACTTCTCTGCACACAGAATGGCCAGCAGTAACATTTCCATATTATAACACCAAGACAGTCTACAGTGAAAACAGATTTGTCAAGTCAGGCTGTAGTGGGCCCCTGTGGTTTAATCTACTTTCTCCAGAATCTACAAGTCATCCAGATGGGCTGATGGAATAGCTTGAATACTAACTACAAAAAAACTCCAGAACACGCTCTTCTTTACAAAACTGAGCATGAAATTCCTTATACCCATAAATGTCAAGACACATATCTGCTTAAAGGAGTCAGAAGACACGTTTGCCAAAATCTGCCACTTAGTGTTACCTTGAATAAATAATACAGCCTCAGTTTTATCATCTGTAAAATAGGGCTAATAATAGTAGCTATGTTATCATCAGGTTGCTCTAAGGATACAAAGCATGCAACACACCAACTACCTTGCTTAGTGCATGTTAAGCACTGAACAAATGAGGTTATTAAAAAATGTCAATGCTTCTTATTACTTACATTCTACCTGTTGGTGATAGAGAATTTCTATTGCCCTTGAGTATTTCACTGTAGCAGAAAAAACAACTGAAGTATTAGCTTAGTTAATAAAAATCACATTCATTGCTGAGTAAACCTAATTAGATATCAATGTAAATCAAAAATAAGAGCTTTCGGGACGGCTGGGTGGTTCAGTCAGTTAAGCGTCTGCCTTCGGCTCAGGTCATGATCCTAGGGTCCTGGAATCGAGTCCTGCATTGGGCTCCTTGCTAAGCAGGGAGACTGCTTACCCGTTTGCCTGCCGCTCCCCTCGCTTGTGCTCTCTGACAAATAAATAAATAAAATCTTAAAAAACAAAACAAAAAACAAAAATAAGAGCTTTCCCTTTTTACTTTATTAGGATACAAGGAGAAAAAGTTGTATTAAAAATTTAACTGCCCTAAAGGTCTAGATGCTCAAAGACAGGAAATATTTCAAAGCAAACCCATGCTTTTTTTTTTTTTAATAGAGAGGGAGAGAAGGGGAGGGAGAGAGAGAATCTTAAGGGGGGGGGGCTCCATGCCCAGCACAGAGCCTGACGTGGGACCCGGATCTCACAACCCTGAGATCGTGACCTGAGCCAAAATCAAGAGTCGGACACTTAACCGACTGAGCCACCCAGATGCCCCATGCTGTTTCATTTTTATACTCTCTTTGGCTTGCTCATCCACCTGGTCAGTATTAAATATTTCGTAAATTAGTTCAAGTAAAACTGTATGAACTTTGGGGAAAAAAATACACTGGATATAAGTGAAAAAAGTAGCCAATATATCTATCTTATGAGAATATTTTATAAATCATAGAAAGACTGGGGGCAGGGATGGGAGGGATATGAAGGACAACCTTCACTTTTAAGACCTATTCTAGATCTACAATCACATGTGATGTATCTAGACTGATGATTTCCCCTTTCTTTCCAATTTTTATACATCTTTTTTTCCCCCCATTTGAATTGGCCAGAACTGCTGGAATAATGTTAATAATAATGGGGACCACTGTTATTCCTACCATTGCTTACAGTCAATGGTAGAAATAACAGAAGCTTTTACCATAAAATTTATTTCCTGTTATGTTAAGTAAGTATCAAGTAATTCCTGTTTTATTAAGAGTTGTTTCTTAAAAAAAAAAAAAACTCAGAATGATGGTTAATTTTACCAAATTCTTTTACAGCTTGAGAGAAAATCATGTTTCTCTTTTGTACTGTTAAAAACATGGCATTTAGTATTTCCCAATACTGATGTATTTAGTATTTCCTGATACTTCATACTGAGAACTTGGTCATCGTGTATTACTCTTTGCTAAATTACATTTGCTAATTTTTAGGATTTTTGTAATTTGAAAATGGTCTAGAGCTTAGGGGTTTTTTAAAATATTTTTTCAGAATTTGGTATCAAAATAATAGTTCCAAAAATAACTTAGAAAACCTTTCCCTTTTTCTATATTCTGAAACAAGTTAAAAAGCACTGCAGTTATAATGTTCCTTAGAAGGTTGCCTGGGCCTCACAGTGCTTTTTTGTGCACATCAGGTTTTGAAATTTACCTGCACACAATTTAGCAATATGTCCACTTACATTTAATTTCCTGAATACCTGGGATTCAATCTCATATTCTGTGTGCATTCATACACAGGTGACATTTGCAAGTTCTCCCTTTGTTCATGATTAGGCTCAACAGGAGTTTACCTGCTTAATATTGTTATCAACATCTTCAAAAATACAAATAAATAAAAAAGCCAGATCTCTTGGATTTATTAGTACCTCCATGTATGTTTTCTAAATTCATCAATTTCTGCTTTTATATTTGCTAGTATCTTCTTTCTACTTTCTTTGTTTTTTGTGGGGGTTTTTTTTTGGTAACTTCTTGGGCTGAACTATCTTACTATCTCAATCTTTTCTTGCTTAGTACTTTATTTTTATTTATGACTTTTCCTCAAGAGTACTGCTTTAGTCATATCCCAGAGGTACAACATAGAATTTTGATTATCAGTACTTTCTAGTTGATTTGGATTTGAGTTTTCAGTTTTTCCTTTGGCCCAAGGGTTACTTCATTTTCTCAGACGGCAAAGTTTTATACTTTCTTTTGCTTTAGTTCTTGTTAAGAATAAAGAGCATAAAAAAAAAAAGCATAATCTGCATATATCTCTGCTTTTTGGATTTGACAGATATTTTCTTTGGGGTCTAATAGGTATGCTTGAAAAAGAATGTTTCCAAGGTATGTTGTTATTCCATTATCATGCTATTAACCTTTTACTTTAAAAGTCTTCTGATCATGGGTCAGCAAACTGGCTTTCAGGACAAATGTGGCCCACTACTAGTTTTTGTAAATAGTTTTACTGGAACACTGTCCTGTTCATTCATTTACATGTTATCTATGGCTGCTTTCACATCGTTGTCAGTAGAACTGAGTACTTGCAAAAGAGATTATATGGTCACCACACCTAAAAAATTCACTAAATAAGTAAATATACAATAAACTTACTAAAATATTACTTGCTGGTCCCTTTTCAGATGCCTCTCTTAATGGATTTAACTTTTTTGCTCCAATCTGTCATTTTCTAATAAATTAGTTTATCCAATTTATAATTTTGTATTTGTTTATGACAAATAGTTTGTCATAATTTTATCTTTTTTAATACTTTTAATTTTTATTACATATTTCACTATATAGTCTGTTTTCTTGGAAGATTTATAGTCTATGTCCTTTAGATAACATCTCTTTACTCCACATTAAGAAAATTAGTATATAGTTGACCCTTGAATAATGCAGGAATTAGGGGCACCAACACCCTACTTGGTCAAAAATCCAAGTATAACTTTTGACCTTACTTACCTACTAAGAGCCTGCTGTTGACCAGAAGCTTTACTGATAATATAAAGAGTTCATTAATACATATTTCTCATGTATACGTCTTACATACTATATTCTTATAATAAAGTAAGCTAAAGAAAATATTAAGAAAATCATAAGGAAAATACATTTACAGTACTGTATTTATAGAAAAAAAATCTAGTTTGGACCTGCACAGTTCAAACCATGTTGTTCAAGGGTCAGCTGTACTTAGCATTATTGTGATTGATCTCATGTTATGAATGATGAGAAAAATTTTCATTTTTGTAACCATCTACCCAATCCCCAACTCTTAATTTTTCCCTTATATTTCTACATTGCCACAATATTAATATTAGCATTAATATTAGTTATACATTTAAATTTATTTAATGCTAATCACTAATCCTTTTAACTCAGTTTTAAACTCATCTCTTGATTCAAAAGTTTCCTCCCTTCTCCGGCCCTGTCCCCCACCCTCCCCTGACCTGCACGGCTAAGTTAATGAGAACTAAGCCGAAGTTTTTCTGTTTGGAAACATGTGTCAATTGATATTAAACTATAGCTTGCCTGGATGTAAAATTCTTGGGTCATATTTTTTTATCTAGTGACTGCGTTTTTTCACGTGTTACAGAATGGAAAAGCTTGTAAGGCCAGCCTCTTATTTTATAGGGGGCTGGACTTTTTTTTTTTTTTTCCATTTTGACCCAATAATAGTCTTTACATTTAAAGACTAGAAACCATTCTAAAATGTCAGGTCTTTTATTGTGGGAAACTCCTAACGTCTTGACAAATTCTTTCTGCTTCAAGGATTCTATATGTCAGGGATATCAATTACTGGTATGCTAAATTCACTATGTTTCATATCTATTATTCTCTAGTCTTTCTTAATTTTTACTCTTTTCCATTTTGGATTGCTCATATCTCTCAAGCTTACCTCCAGTATTCCCAGCTAGAGTGTGTATCTGCTGCTTTGAAAGTGACCTTCATTTCTAATAATGACAAGAATCTTTTATTTTGTAACCTGGTTCCATCAGTTCACTCTTATCTCTTCCTGTTGTCTTCTCATTGATTTCTTGAGCTTTTGTGTCTCATCTTTAGACTCCTGCCTCAGAGGAGCTATATCTCATCCTCAACTTCACATGCCACCTCCCACCATAGGGATCTCTGTTCATAATTTTCACTTGCTGTGCTGTTTCTGAAAATGATTATCACCAACACTCTTCCCTTGAAGCTCAACTCAATGCTGAACTCGCCTCCCCAACTCACAGAGGCCCACATGCCATAGATTTTCAGGGGATGATAATGTAGGCTTTATTCCTCTTCAGTTGACCAAGATCGGCAGCTGTAAGGCTGCTTGCTGCCAGTTTCTCCTCCACTCTAAACTTCTTGAAAAAAATAGTATGCACAGTCCGTAATTCAGCCTCACCTCTTGCCACTCAGGGAGCCCAATGTACATACCAACTTTGTCATTCCACATACGCGGCTTATTGGTTTTGTTCCCATGGTGGGTCAGCCACTTGGCAGAAGGCTGTGCCCTCACTTTGCCTGAGTTCATGCTCTCCTGTCATCCTTCTGCTTTGGTTCAATTTTCACTGCACTTACCGGCACTAATTCACAAATTCTGGTTACAAGATTTTGTTAGTTATCAAAGAATGAGCTGCTTTTCTGTTTCTCATGCTCCTTATTATTTCTAGTTGGTTTAGAGAGAACAAAGATGTCAGTATTCCACCATCATTAACCAGAAATCTATTTTAAAATTCTGCATAGTGGGGCGCCTGGGTGGCTCAGTTGGTTAAGCGACTTCTTTCGGCTCAGGTCATGATCCTGGAGTCCCTGGATCGAGTCCCGCATCGGGCTCCCTGCTCGGCAGGGAGCCTGCTTCTCCCTCTGACCCTCGCCCCTCTCATGTGCTCTCTCTCTCTCATTCTCTCTGTCTCAAATAAATAAATAAAATCTTAAAAAAAAAAAAAAAATCTGCATAGTAAAATATACCAAAATAAAACCAAGATCATAAATGTATTATCTAATTTTTTATAATAAACACATTACTTTTGTAATCTATTTTTAAAGAATCAATATGCTATTAAAAAAGTTAATAAACTTGACTCAATTCATTTCACTATGTGAAATCCACATGACTCTAGCTTTAATGGCAAGTATTTATTAAACACTTGTGAAAAGCCCATCATTTTCTCAGAAGCTGTGGAAAATATAACAGCAAAAGATGCAATTTTTAACTAATATAACACTGTGTGTTAACTGGAATTAAAATAAAAACTTAAATTAAAAAAAAAAGACAATTTTCACCTTTAGAAGATACAGTCTCTAAGATGAGATGGGTTCAAAAGGAAGTGCACAACTAGAGGACCTCACCCACAGCTCTGAGCACCCAGGCTCCTCTAGTCTCCTCAGATCTAAAAGGCTGCTCCCTTTGCCCAGAGCAGTAGACATCTTCCCTCTCTGTGTGCCCCCATCTCCGGCCAGCTGGAGGCCAATGCTTCAGGACTCAGCTTAGTCACGCCACATGCAGATTACCAAAGGCTGAGTTAGTTACGTGCTCCATGCATTTCCCTGTTTTGGCAGTCATCACATTCTGTAACTGCTTATTCTTCTGTTGTCTTCCCACCTAAAAAATAAAGTTCCCAAAGAGACGAACAATTTTCTGTTCATCATTATACATCCCAGGACCTAGCACAGTGCCCAGAAGTTAATAGGTGCTCAACAAATACAGCCACTTACATCAACAGCTTCTGTGACAATAACTCTTAATTCCTGGTGGTCTACCTGAAACAAAGGTTACTAGATTCACCCAGGGATCATTAAATAATTCTTTTAAAAATCACTAAATCAGGACTTCAAATAGTCTATACAATAATTTCTAATAGCCACAGTCATACAGCAAGAGAAAGTGTAATTTAGAAACGTGAAAGTTTTTGAATATTCCAGAATATCTCATGAACATCAAATAGATGTCATATAATGTGGCACCCAATGTCTATTCAGCAAATAATGTTTAAAAAATACGCAAGAATGCAGGGGTGCCTGGGTGACTCAGTTGGTTAAGCAACTGCCTTTAGCTCAGGTCCTGATCCCAGGGCATCCAGCCGGCTTCCTGCTCAGCAAGTCTGCTTATCCCTCCGCCCGCCCCCTCCCCATGCTCGCGCGCGCACGCGCGCGCTCTCTCTCTCTAATAAATAAATAAAATCTTAAATAAAAGAATGCATTAAAATCTGCCTATTCAACTTTCTAACTCGAAGAATTCATTAATCTACCCAACTGCCCTCCTTCAGTATTTGCCACAAGGAGCCAAAACTCTCACTAATCACCTCTATGACATTATAAAAAGGGGTTTAATTTCAACATTTTATAAACAACTTCTATTGAACCTTAATTTTTTTCTATCTACCTGTGATTTTTTCTTCCCATTTCTTTGACTTTTAGTATTTTAAAATCCTACTAAAAGCCAACTCTATATCATTCTTTCCATCTTCCTTTTGAACAATCAACACTTCATTTTCAAATCCCTCTTTTAAATGCTCAATTTAGGGGTGCCTGGGTGGCTCAGTCAGTTTAGTGACTGACTCTTGATTTCAGCTCAGGTCATGATCTCAGAGTTGTGAGATCAAGCCCCGCACAGGGCTCTGTGCTAGGCGTGGAGCCTGCTTAAGATTCTCTCTCCTTTTCCCTCTGCCCCCCTCCCTGTGTTCTCTCTCACTCTCTCTTAAAAAAAAAAAAAAGTTCTCTCTCTAAAAAAAAAAAAGGCTCAACTTAATCTTCATACTTAGTATTTCCAATCCTCTAATGTATTCAGACTCACTTTGTATACCATAAAAAGTAACAAATGCTGGAGGAAAATGGCCCTCTGCTTCAAAAATCGAACTTCCTACTAAATGAGTATTAATTATATCAAAATCACTTCGTCTATTAACTGGAAACAACTATTCATCCAGTCTTCTCTACATTTACAGGTTTTTCTTTTTAACTAAAGAAATCATAACAAAAGCACTAAGGCAGATCTCAGGGAAAAAAGCCTACTTTTTTTTCATTTTTTACATGCAGCCGTCTACAATTGAAGTTCTTTACCCCAACTCCAAAGGTGAAGTTCACATAGCCTTCACTCCTTAACATTTGTTGTAAGATATAGAGGAGGGGCATCTGGGTGGCTCAGTTTGTTAAGTGTCTGCTTTCATCTCAGGTCATGATCTCAGGGTCCTGGGATCGAGTCCTATGTTGGGCTACCCACTCAGTGGGGAGTCTGCTTCCTCCTCTCCCCCTGCCCCTCCCCCTGTTCATGCTCTTTTCTCAGATAAATAAAATCTTAAAAAAAAAAAAAAAGATATATTGGGGCACCTGGGTGGCTCAGTCAGTTAAGCGGCTCCTTTAGACTCAGGTCATGATCCCAGCATCCTGGGATGGAGCCCCAAATCACCGAATGGAGCCCTGAATCGCCAAATCTGGATCCCTGCTCAGCAGGGATTCCAATTCTCCCTCCCCCTGCTCTTGTGCTTTCGCTTGCTCTCTCTCCCTCTCAAATAAATAAATAAAATCTTTTAATAAATAAATAAAATAAAAAGATATATAAAGTCCACATGATCTTAATCAAATTCTTACAGACCCTAATATTTAAACACTACTGCATGGTCTAATCCATGAAGAAGAAAAGCTATACCCTAAGCTCTACTTTTTAACACATGATCAGTATCACTTCAAAAAAGAAGAAAAAAATCCCAACCATACTCAATTTATTAACAGCAACTGTAGATATTACCTTCAGCTGTGGAAATAACTTGTTTGGAATACAAGTGGATCTATGCTTCCGTAAAGAAGAGAATGCAAGTAATTAAGCACTTCTTAGAGCGGCAGTAGAATATACACCCTTATTTATTACCCAAAGTCAAAAGTAATCATTACTGAGAACAGTCTCACAGAACCAATATTTTCATGGCAAACATATCCATATACTGGAATTCAAGAGCAAAATAACGGTTAAGTGTAAAATCTTAAAAACACCCTCTTAGGGGCTCCTGGGTGGCTCAGTCGGTTAAGCGTCTGCTTTCGGCTCAGGTCATGGTCCCGGGGTCCTGGGATCGAGCCCCGCGTTGGGCTCCCTGCTCAGCGGGAAGCCTGCTTCTCCCTCTCCTGCTTATGCTCTCTCTCTCTCTCTCAAATGAGTGAATAAAATCTTTAAAAAAAAAAAAAACCCTTCCTTGATATTCTATGCTGAGTTTAATTAGAAAATAAAATGTTTTCTTTCCATAGTTTCTTCTTTACAAATATAGAGGAATAAGACATTAGCAGGGAGAAAAAGACAAGCTTTTGACAAAAGCAACCTATGGCCCTTTCAGTCTCCCCACAGCAACACATAAACCAATCTGACCAAAATATGAACATTATTCTCTTTGGGACTGCCATGTACCACATCCATGTGGAAACTCTGTATGTCATTACTGTTCTTTCGAGTCTCGTGTTTCAGAAGCGTGTTCATTCCACTGCCACAGCATTTTCCCCTAATTGCTATCTGTAATTTTATATTCTACCCCCTTTTAAGAGCTAGACCAACAACATACCTTACAATTTTTTTAAATCAGCACCTAAATTCCCAGAATGTTAGCTTTCTAATATATTTAATACAATGAAAAAAAATTTACTTATCCCAGAGTCATATACTTTCAGGTTTTAAAAAACTTTTCTCCCCATTTTAAGCTTTTGTTGAAGTAAGTTTTAACTCAACTTCATGGAGCTAAAAAAGGTAATGAGATACTAAACAGTTGAGTGTACTCACTAAAAAACAAAAACAAAAAACTAACATCCCACATATAAATGTGAAAAGTGGTAAAACTGGACTCGGAAATGATGAAAATCTGCCCAATGATGTGATCTGAAGAAAAAGATCAGGGGGAAAAATTGTCTATCATCTCAAAACATAAATACTCCTCATCATAAAGTTCAAAATTAAACCAAGTAAGTGCTTACTGAATATCTATGCTCAAACAGCACTGTACAAATAAGTCTGCATAATGAATTTAAATAAAAAATGGCCTTTACACTAGTTGAGTTCCTTAGCTGATTCATTTAAGCATAGTTTACGTAGCAGTTGAGAGCACTCTTCGGCTCTAGCGGGTATCAGAGATGGTGCTCCAATCTGGTTCTGCTAATTACTAGGTGTGTGACCTTGGGCAAATTATTTAGGTTCCAGTTTTCTCGTATGTAAGGAGAGGACTATAACAGCATGTACCTCACTGAGTTGTTTGGGAGAATTAAATTAGGTATTTCATGAACCATACTTAGCACGGTACCCAGCACGTAGTAATCACTTCATCTTAACTACTATTAGAAGCAGTAAGTAGTAGTTTATTGGTATTATCATTTTAATCTAGAAGCTGCAGGGCTAAAACGCACTCTGCAGCTGCTCGTGCTTTTCTGAATGGTACAGGGTTATTCTCCATTAAGTCAGGCCCTCCCACCTTCTTGGGGCCAGGGTAATAGAATCCGCTAAGAATTGTTTCCTTTAATCTATATTAAGAATCCAACGTTAAAAATATTTTTTACCTTCTATACAGCATCTATATACTGATATTCTTGTGGTGGAAAATACTAATGAGCAGTGCTTGATCTGGTTACAGCACTGATGAGCTCCATATAACAATCCTTTACAACAAATGCTGAGTTCCTGTCCACGCCACAGTCACTCTCGATCGTTACAGAAACCCTATACTGTAGGACCATTAGAAAAACTAAGTTATAACTATAGTCCTCAAAGTTCTTTTGTTCTAAGAATCTGAAACTAAGGATGTCTTTGTTGCTAAATTTCACATACACTTTTCCATCCTTATCTTACTTAACCTCTGCAGCATCTGACACTGTTGACCACTTTCTCTTGAAAATCTCTCCTTTCTGGCAGCTCAGTGGCTTCCTTTTTCTTGCTCCCACACTTAAATGTCAATATTCCCCAAGATTTTCTTCTTCTTAGTTTGTAGGGATGCAAGATGAAATGCCTAAATGCGCCACAAGGGCGGGCCAGGGACAGACTGGCAAACTTTGCTCATCTAAAAGGGGCTCACTCAAACCAGCTCCAGCAAGTTGTTGTGATTTTTTAAAAAAGAAAAGAAAAAGGGGAAAAAAAACCGCAGACCCAAGGTTTCTAAATCTTAGCGACTTTTCAAAAGGTCAAAATCCAGGTTTTCCCACAAAATGTTAGCAGCCCATTAAACTGTTAAAATAAAGATGCCTGACTGAACTTGAGCAAGTAAATCTATTTCCTCATCTATGAAATGGCAGTGATAAAGTCACAAACACAAAAAAAATGAATTAAACGAAACATTTCTACAGCCTTTCATTTTACCTTCCACTCTACATCTCCCCCCAGACTACAGGTTATGATCCCAAGTTTCAAGCCACATGCACGAACTGTAAACATGCATAAATACATTCTTCTGGAGAAGAATCCACAGAGTTCATCAGATTCCCCCAGAAGATTAAGAACCAGACTAAGCCAAATGTTTCTGCTTCTACAGCCTCAGCTGTCATCCCCGTGCGGATGATCCCCCAATCTACGTCGGGCCAGCCTATGCGGACCACTTTACCTCGGTGAGCAGTCTCTCCACTGACTTCTCTCCATTTCCACTGTCAATGCCAAGGCCTCAGTTCCAACCTTCCATCTCTTCTGTGCAGCTGCCTCACTGGCCTGTTCCAGTCTTGCCCTCCTTCACTCCACTCTGTACAACTCGGATCCTCTAAAACGTAAATAATTTACTTGGCCAAAGGCCTTCAGGGTCTGCGTAGGAACGTAAAAGGAATCCAAAATCCAGAGGCCACCACGTAAACTCCTTAGGACCGGGCCAGGAAGACCTCTCCCCCTCCCACTATTTATTCCTATTCCTACTACTCCTACAATTTGCAACACAGAATACTCTTTTGTCCTCAGGCATTTATTCATAGGAGCAGGTCCCACCTCTTGGAATGCCTTTCTAACTCCTCCCATTCGCTTAGGGCAGAAACCCTAGAAATCCTGGAAAGTCCTTCTTCTCTTTAAGGCTTACCCCTAGGCCAGAATAAATAGGTTTTCTTCCTCCAGGCTAATCTATCCCTTATCATTCAATGTGGTGAATGTCAGCCTTTTTTTTTTTTTCCACTAGACTAAAAACTCCTCAAGGGCAGAGAATGTGTCTTTGTATTACAAGGCCACAGCGACCAAGAGGAAGCTAATCCGGTAAAGTGAATGAGACGACACTGGTTCTGGCAACTCCCATCATGCCTCAGGTACACATCCCACCCTCCCAAGGTAAGCCCACCAAAATCACAGACTAGGGCTTCCTCAAAGCTATGCAGGACACACCCAAGCAGGCCGAGAACTGCAAGAGCCTCAAAGGAGCAACTAGAAGTAAACCCACTTTGCCCGCTGGTGCACTTACCAATCCTTTACATCTGCCAACTCACAGAATTCAACAGCTAGACCACCATCGAGCTGCTGAGACTTCTAGGAACACACTGCCAACTTTTTACTGGCACAAAAACAGTTATTTGCCCCATGAAGGTAATTATACTATTCTATCTGTACTCAAATACTTACTAGTATTAGTAATATCTGCAGAGCCAAGAACTTACTCACATTGAAAAAAATCTCACATCCAGAATAGTAAAAATCTTTAAAGGAAAATATTATATAAAAGTCATGCACCAGGCACCATTCTAGAAACTATGTGCGATTCCTCATTTAATGGCCACAGCAACCCTATGGAAAAGGTATTATTATCACCCCTTTTCACAGATGAAGAAACTGAGACTTAATGAAATTAAGCAATTCGTCCCAGTCACATGAGATTCGAGGCCAGTTTGACGTCAGAGCGCAAATGCTTAGCCAACACAAAACTACACAAAGCTGTTAAATGGAAGATCCTAAGATTAAGTTCCATGTACACGCAATCACACAAGGAGAGAAAACACAACAAAAAATGTTAACAGTGGTTAGTTACCTCCTGAGCGTGAAAAATAGGTCTGAGTGGGATGAAAATGAGCACGTATAACTTTTAGTCAGAAAAAAAAGCAAACAAGCCAATAAGAGAGGTGGTATTTAAATGGTTTTAATAAAAAAAGGTTAAGGTGGGTTAATAGATAATAGATAATGAGGACCTACTAAGAGCCAAGCACATAGGCTATCTTATCTAATCCTTATATCAGAAAAAGTTATATTTCCATTTTACAGATAAAGAAACCAATGATTAAGAAACCCACCCCGTGGAAGAGCTGGGATCAGAACCCAAAGCCCAGTCCAAATGTGTCTGACTGCAGGATACCACGCGACAAATAAAATTTAACCGAGAAGCTGTTCAAAAACAAACCACATTCTGGGAAAGAATCAGAACCAAGAAGCCTGGCATAGTAAGTGAAGGTGGGAAAAGATAGAGGCCTACGGTTTTTAACTTTCAGCTTTAGTCAATAGTTATCTCTGCAAGTGTCTCAAAAGAGCCAGAAGCATTATCTCTAAAATCAGCCAGGACAGCGAGGACTCTGGGACAGACCCATACCTGAAGGGAGTGGGAAGGAGACTCCACTGCTGTTTGTTTTGCAAAGCAGATGGCATTAGCATAAGTTACAAGGACTTAAATGTGACTCCATTGTATAAGCAGCAGAGTATCTGCTTTGGGGACAATTGGCTGCCTCCAACCCAGTCTCACCTATTCATCTATTGTTTACAAGTTACCAGGTGTATGGGGGGAAAAACGGGGTGTTACGTGTCTGACAATATTGCTAACTGTATTCAGATATAAATGACCTCTCATTATTCATAACTACTGTTCCGAACCTGGATAGTGAGAGCTGTGAACCCTTGGGGAATATCTCAGGTAAGAATGAATGGATCAGCACTTTTTTTGAAACCTCATGGTTAATTTTGAGTGCTCTGACTTTGAAATTTTAAAATCCATATAAATTAAAATTTCATTTCTCTAAAATAGTAGTATTTCGTTTCTCTAAAATGATTTGCTGAGGAAAATAGCTGGGGTGGGAGTATACAAATTTCCTTATACAATCTTTCAGAGGAAATAAAATGTGATTATTTCAGACTTACAAATTAAAATAAACATCTACTTTTGAAACTAAATATTTAATAGTGAAAAATACATTACCTTCGCAATTTAAAATTAATTCAATTATTTGCCCTGAAAGTCTTATTAGTTTCCAATAAAATGTAACTTTGAAAAATATCAAAGCCTCCATTCCCTCAGGAATAATAAAGTAGCCCACAAGGTGATTAGATTAGGAAATTTATGTAGGTTTGGGACAGGAGGGGAGAAAGTAGAAAACTTTCAGGATTTGTATTACATAAGGCTTTTGAAAGCTTAGAAATGTAAAGTCGACAATATACCTTAAAGATACCAAATTACGGGGCAAAGAGATCTTTTTAAATCCTAAAATGTTCTAGGAAAAAAGACTCATTGAATGATTTCTTCCATCCAACATGCTCTAAAAATAAGGGGAAGCTATAATAGAAGTAACAATTCCAGGTACACAGGTCTATGAAAATATCCGAGTCAATACGCAATTTCAATTCATCAATAAAGTTAAACAACCATTAAATGCAATTTGCATTTTTGTATGAAATCCATACAACCTCAAATATCAAGCTTTCCTTAAGTAAAATGCTAGCTGGCTGGGTATCTATCATTGTGGAGAAACAGAAGGAGTTTTATTTTAGGCAGACAAAAGGAAAAGAAGCCACACTTAGTAAGAATCACAGAAGGAGTCTCACTTCCACGCCTGACAGAAGTCAGACCAAGTCATGGGTTATCTATTGCTCTGCAAGTGGTAGCTTTTCACTAGGTAACAGTGCTCTGGGGGGGGGGGTGTGGTCAGAATGTGGAACACCTCTGCCTGTGAACTACAGCCTGATACCAGGCAGGACACGCGCACATACACAGCACATAATGCCCGAGGTCCACTAAAAAAAGAAGGGGGGGAGGGAAGAACAATCGAAAGAGGAAAAATAACCTCCAAACTTGCCCACACCAGGGGCTGGTCGCGGGGGGGGGGGGGGGGGGGGGCAGGGGACATTAACATTTCCACTTCCATACCAAAGAACAACCAGAAGGAGGTTAAGTGTAACCACAGGAAACATCCTATCCCTGAAAACCAGGAAATCTAGATTTGGAAATTTAAGTTTTTGACTTTTTTTTTTTTTTTGCAACTTTCAAAGCTCATGGCACCAAAATAAAGCTAAAATTAAATCCGTTTAAACATAGAAAAAAAAAATTACCAAAACCACACTGTGTCAGCTATGTTCAGTTCCCTGAGGGCTCTTCCACTGACCCTTCCGAGTTGTGGCAATAACAAGTTTCCTTAAAATCCCCATTTTTCTATCTCCAGGGTCGAACATAAGAATATCACATAAATCCAAATAGTTATCGTCGGAAATAAATAAACTACTCGTCCTTAAACTGCAGACCCTGTTTCAGGAGCTGCCCTGCCCACCTCCTCTCCCTCCTCCTAATTTTTAATGCTTCCAAGCGTTCTGACAACTAGGGTCTCCCCCTTGGGTTCTGTTCATGTGTCTGATTTACCAGACACTGACCAAATAGGGCAGGAAACTCCTACGTCTGGGGGCTGCTCCAGAAATCCAGCCCCCTCTAATGACAGTCTCCCTACGTCTTTCGCTCTGCGGGGACCGTCCAGAAAAGGGGGGCTTGAGACCCAAAGGAGTCCGGGAGGAAAGGAGGGGGGGTGCTTAATCTGAAATGAACACCCCCGGTTTCTGGAGTAAGGGCTAAAAAGGCGATTAGGAGAGCCTGCCCAGTAGAAATACCACCTGAATTTACCTCCTCCTTTCTCACAGCAAAAGCCCAGTCACTAACTAATAAGCTAAGAAAAATCCCTGGAAAACTTTTCCAAACGGGCAGAGAAGGCCCTCTCCCAGCCTGTGGGGGCTCCGGGGGGAACCGGCTGGAGTTTGCAGCCCAGGAAGGGCTCGCCGGGGAGTGGGGTGGGGCGCGGGCGAGGGGTACAGGGGCGGAGTACCTTCAATGGACAGGAACTGGCAAAGAGTTGCAAAATAGCCGAGTGCTCTCCCCCACGCCCTCGGGGGTCGCGGGCGCTAGGACCAGGGCTCCCCGAACGGAGGGCAACCCCCAATTCGGGCCTAAAAGGAAACTTTCCGGGCCGCGGCTGCACCTGACTCCTCACCGCCCCTCCACCCCACCCCACGCCCGCCAGGCCGCCCGCCCCGCCCCGGCCTGGCCGCCCGGAGCGCAGAGGGGGATAAATAAATTCAACGATTACCGGAATCGAGGGGGGTGGGGGGCGTCTGCGAGCGACTAGGGGGAAGGGGCGGGCGGGTGCCCATTCCCCACTCCTAGGCCCTGACGCCCCTGTCCCGGCAACCCGGGCCTGCCGCCCCGCAGGGGAGCCTCCCGGCCGGCGCACGATTCGGCCCCGCAGCGCCGCCGTCCCGCCTGGAGGCCCCGGGGGAGCCGGAGGGGCGCGGGGAGGCCCGGGGTGCCGGGGCAGGGCGCGGCCGCCGCGGGGCCCGCCGGCCCGAGGCCTAGCCGGCTCCCCCCACCCCCCGCCCCGGCCCACACCCCCACCCCGGCCCGCGCAGGCCGCGCCGCTCGCCCGGCTCGGGCCCCGGCTGGACCCCCGCCTGCCCGCCCGCCCGCCCGCGCGCCGCCGCCGCCCGTGGGCGCCCCCAGGCCCCGCGGCCCCTAGCCCCCGCCACCCCGGCGCCGGCCCCTCTCACCCTTTCATTCTCTGCCCGGGGCCTGACGCGGGCCGGCGAATCCCCGGCCTCACGTAAGCGCGCTCGCCGCCCGCCCTGCCTGCGCGGCCCTGCCCGCCGCCCTACGGGAGCCCGGGGATGTGGGCCGGGCCTGGGGCCGCCTCTGCTTACCTTTCAGCTGCTTTTTTTTTTTTTTTTTTTTTTTTTTTTCCTCCTTCCCCCCTTTTCCCTCGGCCGGGCTGACAGATCAGAGTGAGAGGCGCTGGCAATGGACTCGGAAGCTCGGCTGCCGCTGCTACTGCTCTCCCCTGGGCTCCGGCGAGAGCCTTTCCCTGTCAAGCAAGAGGGGTGAGGATCATATTTTTATTTTGGAAACTAAAAAGTGCTCCCAGGGTCGGTGATTATTAAGGGGAAATCCCTGAATATACTCTCCAGCCAAGAAGGCAGGGCTGCCGGGGCTGCACAAGAAGAGGCAGCAGCCTCCTATAGCACCACTACAGGCACTGCGAGGACATAACACCAGAGAGCCGCTCCTCTGCCCTCCGAAACGACAACTTTCCTACCATCTTGGAGGCAGAGGAAAGGGGGGCCGGGGGGAAAAGTGCACCCGCTGCCGATAAAGTACACACTTCTACTTCTCATCTCTGGAAAAAAGTCCACACCGGCCGTCTACACCGGCGCCTGGGGGAGAAAGCAGGGAAGAAACTGGGGGCGCTTGAGAAACGTTTTCAGTTGCTCCACGGGGAAAAATGTTTCTGCATCTTCTGATGGGAAGAAATCTTGACAGGACACAGGTTTTCCGGTGATTATTGTTTTCTATTTTCTATTTAATTTTTTTTTTTTTCCCATGTCGGGGGCAGTGGTATTTTCTTCTCTTTTCTTTTTTTCAGGCTAATCATGATTTTTCTCCATTGCAGGTCCAAGTTCTGTGTCTGGTGGTCAGTTTATAAATTTGTGCTTCAAGAGACTTCATAGCCACTCTGTGTCCATTTGTCTGTTTATATGTTTTTACAGGTATATTTACAGGTTGCCTTCTGTATAAAAATGGGGATTATATATTCCCCTCAAAACTGAGATTGCTGAAAGACCATTGTAAAGGGATGTCTTTTGTCTCCTTTTTTTTCTCAAAGCAATGTAAATAAAACCTACTGACTGTCCAGAAAGGCATGATACAGCTGTTTATTTTTCACAGTGCAAATAAAGGCAGAGATCACGGAGAGGTTAAATACAACTTAGGTATAACTGACCAGATTCCTGGAAATGATTCTAATTCTGTTAGGGTCTCCCCAGGAAGAAAGGTTACTGGACAACTGGAAAGAGATTTGAAAGACAGCTTTAGGTTTTCTTTAAAACTGCTTATTAAGAAACTTTGCTTATTATACCCAGATACTGGCTTTTCTAATTAGATGCTTTAGCTCTTTGGTGCCTTGCATGTGTTGCTGCCCACTTTCTGTGTCACAGAATGGAAAAATGTGTGTTTTTGTTAGAGTTGCTGTGTTGTTGGTTCATAACTTCCAGTGTGCGGCCCGCCTCTATAAATTACTTTTAATATATTGCAGTGGATGTCACGGGTCTACTTTTTTTAATGAGCAAAGCTTAGTAGATGAGAGGGATCAAAGTTACACAAAGCTGAGGAAGCACAGAGGTGAGAGAAGCGTGCCGCCCCCTTGCAGCAATTCCCACAGAACTCTTATTGGAGGAGAGTAAATTACAGAGATGTTTTTCTATTTTTGCGAAGAGAATACCAGAAAATGACCAGAGGATCTTTTTGTATGTTCTACACGGAATGATGAATTGAATCTTGAACTAAAAGTTATTTTTCTGACATATGTTGGCTAACCTAGTGGGAATGGATTTGTAATATTAGTGCCTTGAATCAGCAGAATATTTCTTTCATTTAAAATGTATTGTAGAGCCCTTAGAAATAACTGATGACTCCACTTAAAAATGTCTTTCTTTGAGCTTCCAAATTTAGAAATTCCCATAATGTTAAAGTGAGTTCAGATAATGCGTATATCAGATACTTATTATTTTCATGTTGACCCCCATCTTTATCATCTAAACTTGGATACAGTACTCTCTCCCTCTGCTCCTCCCCCTGTTTATGCTTTCTCACTTGCCCTCTCACAAATAAATAAAATCTTTAAAAAAAATCTAAAGTAATTAAAGTAAAATTAACTGATTCTGATCATCTTGGAAACCTCAACTGTGAAATTGTGTTCTATTTACAAGTTTTTAAAAAACATTTGGAGATCAAATTGGTCATAACAAGGAAATTACTTCCCTTAACATGGAACCCAAGTGGACTTGAAAAACGTGTTTCGAACTTGTTCTTACATATGATGTGACCTTATAGGTATGCTTTGCATTTTTCAAGAAATTAAGATGTGTTCACTTTAAGCTGACTGCACCCTTTTATGCAATCCCTCTTGTGTCCCACAAACTTATTTGCATGATAGGGATATGGGATATGATGCATAATCTTAGTATCTCAGTGTCTTTCTCTTTATAAAGCATGACTTACTTGTACATGGCTATAATCCCAGATGTTTATCCACCAGCTGAGCTAAATAACCCAGACGGGGAATTACAGCCTAACCAAGAAAGAAATCTCACCACGTTTGCAATATTGGTGAATTTGATTGGCCAGTATTTCGGTTGATGATTGAACTCATATTAGGTGCTGTGTCTCCATAATTCCTAGAAGCTGCAGGTGGTAACAAAACTACTGACATAATTGGGGTGCCTGGGTGGCTCAGTCAGTTAAGTATCTGCCTTTGGCTCAGCTCATGATCCCAGAGTCCTGGGGTCGAGTCCCGCATCGGGCTCCCTGCTCCTTGGGAGCCTGCTTCTCCCTCTGCCTCTCTCTCTCTGTCTCTGTCTCTCATGAATAGACAATTAAAAAAAAAAAAGAAAATACCACCTATATCGTTAAAAGGTCTCACTCATTGATTGTGTGGATTTAAAATGATTTACGTATGTTTAATATATTAGATGTCTTTAAGCAACAAACCCATGCCTTTGTTGGCAAATGTTTGCTGACAGAATTGAGTGTTTAAAAAGACACTGACGGCAGACATGGTTATACAAATTATACATGGAGTTTTCTAGGGGGGATAAGGGTACGGGTATGAACCTTCCCTAATTATACATTTCCAAAGACAGACTCTAAAGTCTTATCAGGAGTCCCTAGCCAGTGTAAAAACTCCCAAGGAGGTGAAAAGGTAGAAGTAGGCTGTGTGTACAGAGCCTGAAGGTTTTCAAAACCACACTATTATGATGGCCATAGACATAATTGTTTTTCACTTTACGCATTTCTGTTTTGGAAACATTTGTTGGTAATGCTTCTATCTAAAACAAAGATTCGGTTTTATCGTGGTTACGGTGCCCTGCAAGAAAATGTTCCTGAGACAAGTGTATTTGGCAGACATCCATGTCATGGTTTTAGATTATTTGAGTATGAAATTTCTGTAATATAGATTCAGCTGTAGTCAAAACACACATGATCAGGTCATCTCCACATTCTAACACCTAACCCAGGGGCACTGAGACCTGGGAATTCCTACCTGATGCCATGCCAGAAACCAAGAAAATCTTTTTTTTTTTTAATCCCCATAAGGGCCAAAAGATATCCTCCAGGAACCCGCTGGTCACTGGCAGCAGCAGGGACGAGACGTGTCCCTAGGGCCATTTAACTGCCTTATCATGCTTTCGGCAGAAGAATGTAACCTAGCCTAGGCTGTCGGCCTTCTGGAGATGTTCTGTGGACTACCAACCTACAGTAAGGAAAACAACTGTCTAACCGAAGTTGTGGTTTAAGTAATGATTAGTAAAAAGAAACACCCAAAAGCAGTATTAATGATTGGAATTTGAGTAGAATTATAAGTGATTGCCAGCCTTTTCTATAATTTGTAATGAAAAACTGTCCCAAAAGTGGTGGTTTAGCTAAAACATTGTAGTAGGAAGAGAAATCCATAGAGCCCTCAGAATAACAGGCAAAGGTCAACACAAAGATCACAGTGTTCACTTCTGCTACATTCCTGGTGAAGCGAGCTTTTTGTAGACCCACTGGGAACTTAACCACTATTTCCATGGGAAAATAAATTCCAGGTTCCAAACAGCTAATCAACAGTGATGTTCCAGAACACGTTCATTAATAAGTTTGGACTTCCTGTACTGTAACGTCTTTGCCATGTATTTGTTATAGGTGGCCAGAATTCAATAGTGAGTGTGGGAAAAAGGAGGAAATTTATTCAATTAAAGTAAGGAGTTACTGTTGTTTTAAAAAGATTTATTTATTTTAGAGCGAGAGCATGTGCGGGGGACAGAGGGGGAGAGAATCTGGAGCAGACTCCCTGCTGAGTGCAGAGCCCCACACGGGGCTCCATCTCACCACCCATGAGATCACAACCTGAGCAGAAACCAAGAGTCAGTCACTTCACTGACTGTGCCACCGAAGGCGCCCCAGTAAGGAGTTACCTTTAACACAATTCAAATAGGGGCGCCTGGGTGGCTCAGTCATGATTCTGGGAGTCCCGGGATCGAGCCCCGCATCGGACTTCCTGCTCAGAGCGGGAAGCCTGCTTCTCCCTCTCCCACTCCCCCTGCTTGTGTTCCCTTTCTCACTGTCTCTGTCAAATAAATAAATAAAATCTTAAAAAAAAAAAAAAAAAAACAGTTCAAATAGCTTGATTCAAATTCAGGCGAGGAAGATTATCAAATTATAAAAGGGTAAGGCCAGTTCTACACCAGGAGGGAAGACCTCAGTAACCAAAAATTACACTTTTTACCTTAACTATACATTGGTATTTCTGTTTTACGCATGTCTGGGTGCTTATATGAGCTTACAAGTAGGTATTTGCATTTTGTTTTATTAAGGAAAACCAGAAAGAGAAAGAAATGAGGGGATAGAAGTCAGTAAGATTCTACTAAAAATGATCCAACCTCATTCTTCTGTTAGGCTGATGCTGTTTTTTGCTCCACACAGCAAGTCATGGCCATTTTTGTCTTGATGCCCCCGTTCCCACTCTGCTTTGATGCCTTGCTCAAAATCTCGTCCCTGAAGCTTTGCGGTGCCAACCTGAGTCTACAGTGACCTTATTCTTACTCTAATGCCTTGAGTTGTTTTCTAGGTTTTTGGGGGGTTTTGTTTGTTTGTTTGTTTCCACATGTGTTCCTCTTGTGCAAAAGAACGTGAAGTGATTAGGAGCTCAATCTCCAGTCAAGGCCATCTGGTTTAGGAACTTGGCTTTACCACTTTCCTTGGTAGTGTGATCCTGGGCAAGCTCTTTAACCTCTGTTTCCTCATTTGTCAAAATGAGAGTAATAATAGTACCTAGGTTACTGTATTGTTGTAAGGATTAAGTGGCATAGTTCAGGAAAGGCCCAAGGCAGGGTCTCCAGCACGTAGTAAGTGCTATGTAAAACTGCCCTTTTTGGTTGCTTGCCAATAAACACTTTACAGGCAGTATGGCTCAGGGTCAGGGAGGACTGTTTTGTTTTTGTTTTGTTTTGAAACACTACCAAGACAGTGAGCTCAGCAGCACTAGTCACAAGTTGACCTCAACACAGAAAAAGATGAAAGGAGATTAAGATTATGGCATACCAAATATCTACATTAAAACAGAAACAGTACATTGATTTTTTTTTCCAGATAGTTTTTTTTTTTTTAAGATTTTATTTTTAAGTAATCTCTACACCCATCATGGAGCTTGACCTTACAACCCCAAGATCAAGAGTCGCATGCTTTACCGACTGAGCCAGATGGGCACCCCTTCAGGTAGTTTTGAATACCCAGATAGTTGACAGTCTACAATAAAGAATATTAAGTTTAGCTGAGATTTTGGTGTCCTTCAGACTCAATCAAGGTGTTAAATATAAAATGGGGTACAGGGAGAGTACCCACAGAATGCACAGCAGGAGAATATTGTGACCAGTTAAGCCCTCTTTCATTAGCCATTCTAAAGAATGAGAAATGCATTTAAGTTTCAGTATGAGGTATTGAAGAAAGATTTTTCTGACAAGGAAGCATAAAAATGATTATGAATTTTTTTTTTTAAGATTTATTTATTTTATTTGAGAGAGAGAGAGCACTTGGCGGGCAGGGACAGAGGGAGAGGGAGAGAGAGAGAGACTCATCAGCCGACTCCACGCTAAGCCTGGA